ATCCAGAAAAGCATTGCATGCGCTTGGAAGCAGAGCCACAGTGCGCCACCAAACATCCTCTCCATAGATGAAGCCTACAACATGGGATACGTTATAAGGGCCAAAACAGAGGACAAAAACAGACAAAGTGGCCACGGCTACCCGTATTGCGCGACGTTTCTTCCTCAGATGGAGATGCGACCCAACCAGGACACGGATGCATCCAGCATAGCAAAAAGCTGTGATTAGCAAGGGGAGAAAGAACAAGACCACAGAGAGTTCCAGCCGCACAGGGGCCAATAAAGCCAACTGGTCTTCAGTGAAGTTGTGGTAGCAGGAAGAGCTGTTACCAGCAAAAAGGCTGGATTTGGTGTCCCTGGAGGTCTCAAGAGCAAAGAGGAGAACGCCGTGGAATCCCACCAAGCTCCAGATCCCCACAGAAACCAGGAAGGAATAGAAAGGCTTTTTATAAACTTGATAATGGATGGGATAAACAGCTCCCAAAAATCGCCCCGCACTCACAGCCGTTAGGAAACCGGCACTGGTGTAAATTGTGCCAAAATGAATCAGATTGTAAAGAGGACACAGGAAGCCTGGCATCGTCCAGTTCATCTTTCCTTTTTCCAGCATCTTGAGAGGTAAGAAAAGGATGAAGACCAAGTCAGAGAGGCAAAGGTTGATCATGTAGATGAGGTTGGGGGTCAAGCGAACCCTGGCACGGCAATAGAAGATGTAAAGGGCCAGGATATTGGAGGGCAATCCCAAGAGGATGGTTGCCCCATAGACCACCAAAGACACGATCTCCCAAATTGCCATTGCACCAGAATCAGTGCGCAGGAAGGAGCAAAGCTTGCCTGTCTACTTATTGCTCCTGTCTATTTTCAAACAGCAGAAGCAGCTGCCAAGAACGTCTCAGGTTTAGCTGTTAAATAGTTGGGTGTGTGACAGAGAATGAGTGACTGAGAGAGAGAGAGCAGATGCAAGAAGCATGGAACAGGGCAGCCCTTTGATGAAATGGACCGTGAGAAATTGTTCAGTGAAAGCAACTATGAGCCAGGGCAATAAAGCCATAAATCCCGGAAAGTCATACGAAGTTTCTCATGGCCCACTGGGCTTATGCCTGGGCTAATCTGAGCTACAGGAAGATGGAACAAGTGATGAAGAAAGAGGTCCAAATCCCTAGAAGCAGGGACACTGCTGCAGGCTTGCAATTCTGGAAATAAGGAATGAGTCCTCTGATACTGGAATTCTCTAATATCCAAAACCTTAAACTTTAATGGAGTTTTTTTGCATCATTTTTGCCCAGGTGCAGAATGGACTTCCGGAAGCGGCATCCACACAGAGAATCGGTTGTTGACATATTTGAATCCCACCACTCCTTCCTTCCTTCCTTCCTTCCTTCCTTCCTTCCTTCCTTCCTTCCTTCCTTCCTTCCTTCCTTCCTTCCTTCCTCCCTCCCTTCCTTCCTCCCTTCCTCCCTTCCTCCCTCCCTCCCTCCCTCCCTCCCTCCTTCCCTTCCTATGGTGGGATTCAGCCAGTTCACACCACTTCGGCAGAACCAGTAGCTAATTTTTTGTTGCCCAGGCTCAGAATGGACTTCCAGAAGCAGCATCCACACAGAGAACCGGTTGTTCACGTATTTGAATCCCACCACTGGATCACAGCATATACAGGCAACAATATTCTGGGTGAAGATTCAGGTAGTTAGAGGGAGAAGTTACAACCTAACTAAAAAGGAAGACTTATGACCCGGATCCAAAATTCTGACAGTATCCCCACCACCACCACTGATCATGTGTCCAAACTTTGGGTGCATTTGCCATGTCCCACAGTTACATGACAGCACGTTTACAATGATTTAAAAAAAAAAAAACCCTGGCATTTTTTATTTTTGGCAAAACTGTGCCAGAGCGAAAACTGGATTTGCTGAATGACCATGGTGTTCACCCTTTATAACCACCGTGTTCACTTACTGGGTGTCACAAAAAAAAAAAAAAGGTAAAATTGGGTAAGTCATATGACCGGACCCTTTTATGACCGTGATGGCTTACAATCCTAAAGGGCAGGACTAATTCTTGTCAAAAGGAAGAGGGTCAAAAAAGACAATAATGGCACACAGAACTATGAAATGCAAGCTGCACATCTCTTTATGTACATTGGGCTGTGTGTGAAAAGGGGACAAGCCATCACACATCATTGTGGCCAATATTTGAATTTTTTAAAAAAAAAAAAAAAAAAAAAGCACCGACACCCCGTGGAAAAAGTTTACCCTGTAATCAATCCCTGTTGGCTTTATATTGTTTTCTTATCAGTACATTGCATTAACAATATTAAAAATGTTCATCTATATCGATCAGCCAAGTAAAAAAAGGATAACCTGTTTCTATGTGACCTGGAATCTGTGAGGGAAAGAGACAGACTCAGGAACAGATATCGATATTAAATATAGATATTGATGATATATAATAGATTTGGATATATTCATTCTCTGTATATATGTGTATACATTCATTACATATTCAACCTCTGTAAATTACCATTGGATACTAACCAATGCCTTTTTTTAAATATCACACACACATATACATATATATACACTCATATTTACACACACACACACACACACACACACACACACATATATATATATATACACATAATTTAAGTAACATGTCGTATTATATTATTTCGGCCTGAGGGTGAAAATAGATTGAGTTCTTCAAGAAGGAAACATGCTCCGATGACTGGTGGAAAGCTTATTCTCTAAACTGAGTCAATCAGGAAGGACAAAATTATCTCTTTAATGTACACACCCCTGATTATAGCACATCAGCTTTAGTTGTCAAGTAAGCGCTATCAAAGAGAGAAACTCTTCTTTTCAAAAGTGAAATGATCTGGGGAGCTTTTGGGAGGGTTGTCTTGAGGGGGGGGTAGTATTTATCTCAAAGATTTAATTCCTAATTGAGAAGATGGTGAGCCAGATAGATAAAGGTAGTCCTCGACTTATGACCACAATTGAGCATAGCATTTCTGTTGTTAAATGAGACCTTTGTTAAGGGAGTTTTGCCCCATTTTACTGCTTTTCTTGCCTCGGTTGTTAAGTGAATCGCTGCAGTTGATCAGTTAATAACTCGTGAATCTGTTCAGTGAATCCGGCGTCCCCACTGACTTGGCTTGTCAGAAGGTTACAAAAGGGGATCACATGACTTCAGGACACAGCAACGGTCATAAACATGAACCAGTTGCCATGCATCAGAGTTCTGATCACACGATCATGAGGAATGCTGCAAAGGTTGTAACTGTGAAACATGGTCATATGTCACTTGTTTCAGTGCTGTTGTAACTTTGAATGATCACTAAATGAACTGGTGTAAGTTGAGGACTACCTGTATATGTTATAGGCTTCTTCAGCAAAAAAAAAAAAAAAGCAAAATAGATTTGGAGAATCATCATTTATGATTTGTGGGCAGCAATGGTGGTAGTACCTTCAGGCTTTGCCAACTAGTCCAACAGAAGGGTCTTTTGCATACACTCAGAAGACTGGGGAAGAATGTCCAAAGGCCCCTCTGCCAAGTCCTTGAGTTGTAGGTCTATATAACAATGCAACAAGTCAAGAAAGCAGTCTTCCAAACCCATTGCCAGCTTCCCTCACTTTTGGAGAAGCAGCCATTTTAATTACATGTATGATCCACCCAGTGGGACCAAAACCCAACCCTCTATTTATTATACCAAAGAGTCACTAATACTATCTATTGATTTCCATTTCCAGTACTGGAAAAGTTCTTCCTTTTAGTACAGTACACAACGCTTTGGAGTTTCTGAAGGCATCAGAGTCAGCATCTTCTGGAAGCATCCAGCCCTAAGGTGTGTCTTCCCCAGATAGCTAAGCACTTTGCTACACTACATTTAACTGTGTGGACTCTATTCTGTCAACACAAACAGCCTCGTCAATCAGCCAGACTTCCATAGCAGATCGAGCTGCTGCACAGTTGCGTGGCACGAAAGCAAACAGGGTGGTGTTATCTGATAAAATGTCCAAAAGGTCAGGATTGGTTAGAGGGTAAATGGGGCCCATAATGACTTCTCTGACAGTTATCTAGCCAGTGAATGAAGAATATTGACCAAATTGCTGTTTGACCTCCCCTGGCTCCAGCTGTTGTTTGCCTTGCCTCTAAGTGGTGGGCATGGTTCATTCTCCTCACTTCAGCTCCTTCCTCCAATGGTGTTTGTTGATTTGCTGATGGCTGGCATCTTTAAGTGCCACTAAAACTTGTTTATGAATAGGACGCCTGCTTTCCCAGGGAGAGAGCATAAGAATGACTTGCAAATTAATCCCATTTGCATGCCTAGCATTTGACAAGGAAACAACTACGGACTCTACCGTCCTTCTTCAAATTATAATTTTCTGTGGTACTTAATAAATTGGCCAAAGGGGAAGCAGGTTTCCAAACCGACCTGGGCTATCTGTATTATAGCATTATACATGAGTATATGGACTATTCTTTTTCTTAAAAAAATTCCCTACCCAGCAAGATCTTCGGCCCAGCATATTCTTTGTCTGTTTTAAATGTCATGTGACAAATGTCTAGTGATTTTTATGCAAGGGAGCCTTTAGTCATGGAAGACACATTCTGCTATTAGTCGGAAATGAATTCTGTAAGTGATTATACCCACAGCCTCCCTGGAAGAACAGCAAACCTTCTGAACATTGGAGGACAACCCAGAATGAGCTTGTCCCTAATATATAATAAAGTATAATAAATGTACCATCATACATTTTAAAATGACTTCATAACAGATACAGGTAATCCTTGACTTGCAATGATAATTGGGATCAGAAGTTCTTTTGCTAAGCAAGATAGCTGTTGAGTGAGACACACCCACTTTTATGACTTTGTATGGCTGAGGAATTCTGGGAGTTGAAGTCCACAAGTCATAAAAGGGCCCCTGCTCTAACCAAATGGGCCCGGTTTGCCCAACACATTAAGCCACATACACAAAAACACAACTACTAATCAAGCTGAGATTGTTGGATTTAATGTACCTAGCTGAACAAAACTAACTGTACTCTGAGAAGGACAGAAGGAAAACGGTATCTAGGATTATTGTTTAATTTGTTTTGAAGAACTGATTAGTAATAGATCTGACACGGTTCTTTTATTTGTGCCATGGCAGAAGATACAACATTAATTGTGCCATGGCAGAAGATACAATACATGGCAATTTGATGGCCTAAGTTGCAAATTAGGGTTCTCCAGTGAGGAAGATCTCTAGCTTGAAAAGGTCCTTACTATAGGAACACCTTGAGCTGTTCTATAATAATTTCTAAGGGGTTGATTGAATATCAGAAAGAGAAGATCAAGCTTTATCAGTCATGAAAAAAAGACTGTCTGAATTAGGTTTATATATTGAAAGTTGACCATTATACCAGCCATATACCTCCTGTTGTTGACTTGGACATACAGCAATATAAACATAAATGCTGGTTTTATTAGCCCCTTATCCTACTTTAACTTCCTTCTTTTACCTGCAGAAGTCTGCTATTCTTTGTTGTAAAAAGAAAGCTGTAGACACGCCCAATTCTAATCCCACTTCCCAATTGGAGAGTCCTGATCTCTGCAGACTTGAGTAGATCAGAGCCTCAGAGCTGCATACTGGATACTGTCTTCTGATTGAGAATCTGTTTCTAAGTCTACATTGATGGGATGGGGCCGTGATGCCAAGTTCACCAAGGAAGAATAGTGCAATTCCTCTTCTTTGTTCATCACATTCTCATAATCCATCTTGGTGTCATTCTAAAACAGGAGGAGAAGGAACTTGTTTAGGTAAAGGATATTAGATTTGGGTGAATGGTATACTTAAATGTGAACAAGTTCAGTCATCAGTAGCTTCAAATGATCTGAGACTGACTTTACTCTGCAATTCTGGAAAGCCATTACTTGTCAATGCAGATCACTTTTTTTTTTACCTGACCTAATAGATCAAGTGAAAGTCAGCTTTTAGATGTCACCTAATCAAAACCGATTTGAAGTCCAAGTACTTGTATCAACATATGCCTTGTGACTTTTCAAATTCCCTTATATTTTTCTTGATTATTCTTAGTGAACAAACTCTTTTCTATTTTTCTTTGCATGATGGGGTGTTTGTCAGCTTATTTTATTGGTGAAGGGAATGAACACTGATGACGCTACTGTTTTCTATCGTACAGCTTTTCATTATTCTGACGTCTATTTAAGTCAGTGGTTCTCAACCTTTTTAGAGAGGGAAGGGGTGGAGGAGACGGATACTTGCAAATTCTGTGTGAAAACAACCAAGTCTGAAGTCCACTTTCTGATTCATCTCAAAAGTCCCTAGTGCAGTGGTTCTCAACCTTTTTAATGTCGCAACCCCCCCAACCGTCATAAGTCGAGGACTACTCAACCGGTCGTAAGTCGAGGACTACTCAACTGGTGCAGCACCGTTGGCAGAATGGGACTTTTGGCGGGCTCAGCAGGGCAGAGACAGCCTGGACAATTCCTATTGGCTTTTGAAAGCCAATAGAATTAAATTCTATTCAAGAGAGTCTATTCTATTGGCTTTCAAAAGCCAATAGAATAAAAGGGAGTAGCACAGCTAAGGAAAAGGGGGGGAAAAATGGCAGACTGTGTTGTTTGGCGACCCCCGTGAAATGGTCGTTCGACCCCAAATGGGGTCCCAACCTACAGGTTGAGAACCACTGATTTAAGTGGCCTCGCTTCCTAAACTGCAAGAAAGCTACACTTAAACTGAAAAAGTCCCATACTCTCATTATAAGTAGAGTTTTACAAGGCTCTATCATCTCTGGCATCACTTTAAAATGTGCATGTCACTTTTAAAAATAAAGGAAAATTGCTTGCAAAAAGTGCATAAAGTCTGTGTGCACAAAAACATATGGAAAATGTGCATGGCAATGCAAACAAAGATCTTTGCAGACCTTCCATTTTTCAAATAAATCTACAAGCTCATGCAGAAATGGTCTGAAGAAGATTTCATGCTGGAAAAATGGGAAATTAGCCTGAACTGTCCATCCTTGTTCATGATTCAATTTCTGCTTTACATGTTGCTAAAAAAAGGTACTTTATGAAAATAAAAGCTGGCAAGCCCAAGAGGGAAGAGTATCAACAGCAAACACCCTTGGGACTACATCACATAGTAAAGAAACTCAGCCCAGAAAAGGGAAGCTCATTTTTGTCTTTTTAAGAGAAATAAATTACTATTTCAAGGGTAATCATTTCTCATGAATTGTATCAAAAACAAATCTAAAAAGAAGAAGCTGAATCAAAAGACCATGACCAGTTTCTCATAAACTGGATTTCAGATTTCCTCATCTCAAGCCAGTATGGTGATAGAAATCGTAGCCAAAGAAATCTGGTGAGAGTCACATCCGGTGACTCCTGTATACCTGGCCCTGATCTTTGAACAGAAAATCAGTAGACTATAATATTGAGTATTATCACTAAAATCACTTTGTAGGAGACCTATTTCTATTCATCTGCATGATCTATTCAAACCTTTCTATCTCTGATATGGAATGAAACAGGAAAGAAGAAGGACCGCCTGCCTTCCCCAAATAGATTCCTTCCACATGTGCTGGTTGAACATTCTGGGAACTGCAATCCCAGCAATATCTGAGCTACAGGATCAAGAATGTCCCCTGTTCATTAACCACAGGGATCCACCTCAAACAGGACATGTACCTTGGGATGCAATGCAGGTTTCTTTACTGCACTGTAGATCACGTTGCTCTCCGAGGAATCTAGTCCAAGATTTGGGAGCATGACCCTGTAATCAAAAAGACATTAACTGCATGAGATTATTTGATGACCTGGGTTTGTGTTGCACCAATTGCCTTGCTATCATTTGTTTCTTCTCTTCAAAATAACTTTTTAAATACATACATACATACATACATACATACATACATACATACATACATACATACTAGAATAAAATATGGGGAAAAAAAGAAAAGCTCCTATGATTTCTTAATAGGAGACAAATTTGTGTCTCTAGTTGACTTTTGCTTTGCATGTTTTGTATACTACCACATATGTTTCCCTTTTTTACTTAGGATCCACAAGAACTTTGCTATCCTTCTTTGTAGATTGGAATTAAAGTGGCTTTGGAGCAAATACACTGAAAAATAAGGCCATGGATTCAAAGGTAGACCTCTTGTACGGAATTTCAGCAGCTAAGGAGGCAATTATTTGCTGTTTTGTACATCTAGTCAGCCTTGTGGAGGTCCGATATAGATTGATCATCTTCAAACTAATATAATGTAGCATCCTGTAGAAGTTAAGTCACTCCACCTCTGCAAGGTGAGCCTCAGTTGACCACTTTGATCTGCAAATGCTCAGAGATGACTTCCATTAAACAAACGGAAACACACACTACTCACTTGGTTAGAAGAGCAGTATTGGGCATTTGATAAAGGATTTTGGAGATAAGTTGTACTTCAGCCTTCACTTCAGCCATCACTGAAGCCTCTTCTAAGATCTGCAGATCCCTAATCTAAAGGACTTTATCTTGACCTCTACATTGAACCAGGTTTAACACCAAGGATTGTTAAGACTTGTGGTATCAATTGGGGGTCCATTGTCAATCCCTGTAAGCTCCTGGTCCTATGGCTACTCTTTCTTCTCCCTGCTATAAGGCTCTTCACATTCTCTCTCCAAGTGATCAAGCAGAAGCTCAACTTGTTCAACTTCTCTGTCTCCCAGAAGATGCTGGAGAGCCAAAGAGAATGGCACATAGATGGACTGTGGGAACCATGGTGAAGAGGAAGCAATAGGCATAATTAGAGAAGGGGCAGAACAGGTCAAGAGCCTCTTAAAAACTGAAGCCAGCAGTGTATCCTTCACGATTTCTTAAATCTCGTATCACTTCACTATCATACCTGGAGTAAATAGTATGGTCGTTTAACCCACTGTGGGAGAACTGGAGTCTTGCATATGAAATGGAGCCGTCTTGCTCCTCGTTCTGGCAGTCTTGGGGTCTGCCCGTTCTACCTTCATTTAGTCTGCAGTTGTTATTCAGTGGTACTTCTCGCTTGGCCTAAGGGGAGGAGAAAAAAATATCTTGACATTCCAGCCAGGGAAGACTTTACCAGAAATAATACTGAGCCTACAATTTTCATAGCTGCAGTAAAGAGGGAGAATTTGATTAGTGCAGCTTGTTAGAAAATGAAAATCTGGATGCTGGCCAAATGGTATCCATTTATGACTTATTTGTTGCAATGAGGTCACCCTTTGATTCTTTGGAAAGCTCAAGATGGTATATTAATATCTCTTCTCACATTTCCATTCTACATGAACTCTATGAGATAAATTAGATGAGAAAGAGAAACACTCCCCCATTCCCTTCATTATAGCCTCAAAACAGTACCAATTTAGGAGCAGTTTTCCCCCCTCTCTCTCTCCTTCCCTCCCTCCCCCCTCCCTTCTTTCCTCCTCCATCTCCTCGTCCTCCTCCTCCTTCTCCTCCTCCTCCATCTCCTCCTCCTCCTCCTCCTCCAGAAGTATTACAGGCTAATACCACAATCACTGGATTTAAAAGGAGGAGGAACATTTAGGGCAGGGGTTCTCAACCTTGGCAACTTTAAGACTTGTGGACTTCAACTCCCAGAATTCCTCAGCCAGAAAAGCTGGCTGAGGAATTCTGGGAGTTGAAGTCCACAAGTCTTAAAGTTGCCAAGGTTGAGAACCCCTGATTTAGGGTATTAGAAATGGAAGGGAGCTAAACGGCCTACAAGTCCTCCTTAATGTCCTCTCCACCTCTACTGTATTGTAGAAAACAATTGAAAGTGAGTCTTAACCTTCCTCACAAAAAATGAGCCTGGCCTCTGTGTACTTCCAATGTCTGAACGTGTTGTTTTCTTCCTGCAAGAGGAGAAACAGAATTAGGTCATCTCCAGGTCATAGTTTTGGAACCAGTTCCTGGGATGGATGCTGTGATCCCACTGTGAGCATGCTGCTGTTCCTGTGGGATGGGCCCAGTCTGACCAAAAATGAGCGGTTGGTACTTCATAACTGTAGTGGTTCCTACAGAAATGGCAACACCCAATACAGGCCATGATATCCCAGTGTCATGCTGAACACCATCAGTAAGTTGTCCTTTTAAGAATTCACATTGACTGACTAGAACATTTGTTTTGCTGGATCTTATTTCAGCCTTTGATTCAATTTAATCTTAATCTCTCTGGCCTAAAGACTGCAATAAAGGTTTGATTTGATTCTGATGGTACCTCATTTCTCATCCTATGATTTTCTTTTGAAGTGTCCCTCATCAGCCAATTATGGAGCAAGGAATCTTGTAAAATATTACCAAGCAAAAGTCTGCCTTGGAAAAAATGAGCTTCCCCACCATCCTACCCTACCCTATTAGCTGGATTGGTGCCCTGCAATAGTCAGATCAACTATTGTAGACCATAGCCTGCAGGCCATTGACTCTTGCTTACCATTTCTTACAGCCATAAAGCAGCAACCCCAGTAAGATAATAAGGACAAGAACCACACCAAGGCTAATCAAGGTTTGTTTCATCACTGTAGCTGTGCTGTCTGCACAATACAAATGAAAAATGACAAAGATTAGCAGGATCTTGATCTGATTTTATGTAAACTTTACATCCTTATTTGCTTATCAAACCTATGCCAATCAATACCCCATCATATTTCTATTCATGTAGCTTGCAGGCTTAGAGGAACCCAGAAGTGGTAAACGGTAGAATAACATTCAACTACTGCCATTTATTTGCTTATACTCTGGAAATAACTTTGTACAGACTCAATTCTAAGTAAGGATAATAATAAAAAGAAAGGCTTAAAGCTTAAATCTTATTTTCTCAATTCAACCAGACATAAAATTAATGATATTTAATGTGCAATGTTCCCTCAACTCCTCTTGGCTTAACAAATTCATGCATGTGCATGCACAAACACATATAAATAAATGTTTATAATTGGGACAAATTTATATATTGGGGGAAGCTGCACAGAGAAAGTTGGATATATTTGGGAAAGTTATGTACAAAAATGTATACTAGTAATAGATCATTATGGAAGCTGGTTTAAATGAAAATATATTAGGGAATGTTAGTATAAATATAAGAGAGTGAATGAAGGAGAGAAATACAATTTGTACAATATATGAACCGAATTACATAAGGACATCTGGGTTTTCATTCAGTTTAGTTTTCATTTTTGTTTTGCTTTTTAAGGAATAATCTATAGCTTTCTTCCAAGCTTTATCACCTAAATCCAAGTATGAAAACATAAATCCTTCCTGAAAACAGATTAAACATCATAAAGAATTCTTCAGTCATGAGTTGCTCATGCAAAAAAAAATTGTACTTTAGGATCAGCCAGCCTGATTTTTATTCCAATGAATGTCCAAGCCAACGCAAATATTTTGGAGGTGCTTTCCAAAATACTTGTAAAACAGAAGTTGCCTGGTTCTGTTTGACTAGTTGTCTTTCCATTGCCAAGAATTTCGTAATAAAGGATGGTCAGCTAAGAACTGTAACAATATTTTTCAAGGGAAATACTCACAAGATACACTAATGGTAATGGGTTGTGATTCCTTATTTGAGATAGAGTTGAATGCTTTGCAAAGATAGTCTCCTGACTGTGCAACCTTAATTTTTCTGAGTACTAGGATTTTTGAATCCTCCATAAAGATTTCTTCGCCTTTCCAGTACCACTTGTAAGTAACCGCCGTTGGGTAAGCATCATTATCACATCTCAAATAGATATCCATTCCTTCTGTAACACCTTTCTGATCTAGAGTTAGATGAACATTACGAGGCCCATCTGTCAGAGAAGAAAGAGTCACTCAATTTAATTCAGCATTTGTATATTTGATTCTCAGCAACACTGCAAGACGAGGCAGACAAGGAATTTATAAGGACGCAAGAAGTATTCTGGAGAAATAGGCTGCCATGGTAAATTCCTGATAGTTCAACTCTTAGAATTATTACTAGTGGTCATGTTGGTTGTGGAATTCTGGGAGTCAAAGTCCACAAATCTCAAAGTTGCCAGAATTGCATGCAAAACATTGTTTTGTCAAGTCCATGATTCTTTTTCATATAGCAATCATCTAGAACAGTGGTTCTCAATCTGTGGGTCAGGACCCCATTTGGGGTCGAACGACCATTTCATAGGGGTCACCAAACCACGCTGTCCGCCATTTTTTTCCCTTTTCCCTAGCTGTCCTACTCCCTCTTATTGGTGGCCACACCCACTTGGGGGTCACCACAACATGGGGAACTGTATTATGGGGTCACGGCATTCGAAAGGTTGAGAACCACTGATCTAGAAGCATATGAGAACCTTAGAAGCAAGAGATCTCTCACTATGGCTTAGATCTCAGGTGTAAGTCTGAGGAGGGAGTAAAGAGACAACAAACCTAATAGATCCTAATAGCCCAGTCCTCCATTGAACACACCTTGTCCATTTTTAAAATCATTTATGGGATCAAGATCACATCCAACAATAGTAAATTCCATTAGATGCCACCTAAATCATACCCAATATGGGAGACTACCCCATGTTCTGAGAAGTACAGCTTTCATTTTTCAAAGGAGAAAAAAGAGCTCAATGACCACTACAGTAAGTTTTCTGTTTTGTTGTTGTTGACTCCTGCCAAGTGTCTGGACAAGTCCTGCAGTCTTCTTAACAAAAATTCAGAAGTAGTTTCTCTTGAAACTCTTTCCTAAGTCTGAAAAAGAGGGATTGGCCCAAAGTCACCAAGATGACCTTGTTCCTAAAGCAGTAACCAAGAAACAAGCTTGAGTCAACAATGACTTCACCTAGAAGAGAAAGCCCATTGAGCACAGCAAGAATATCATGACTATACACTGAATCTGTACTTACAATTCACTTCCAGCTTAATAGTTGGAGACTCTGCATTTGTTATGATGTTTTTCGATACACAATGGTAGATGCCTGAATCCACTGAACGGGCATTCTGGATGAGTAGAACATTTTCTGTAGAGTTCAGTGGCAGCAGTTGCCCATTTTTATACCAGGTGTAGTTGAGTTGCTGGGGGTTGGCCATTCTCACGCTACAAATCAGTTGAACAGAATTACCTTCGCGGATCAACCCTGACGGTTCTCGACTGAGCTTGACATCTTTGGGGCCATCTGTAGGGGAAAAGGGAGAAATGCAAGCACAGAGAGTGATATCCTATTGCTCCTGACCATGAACAACTGCCCAGAATGACCAGCATCTAAGGCATATGTTAGCTACACTGAACAACTCAACAAATAGCACCCACTTTCCCTTTTGAACCCAAAGCTATATACTTTTTAATTAAATCCTTCTCAAATTTTGAAGTACCTCCCCAAACCAACCTAAAGCATTTCTCTACTCAATTTGTGTGCTTGCACAAACTATAAGGGATAATGCCCCACAATGATTTGATTATGCCCAGAGCTTTGTCGGTCTGAGGTTGTGGTTGAAATATTGAACTAGGATAAAGAGATGCAGGTTCAAGTACATCTTCAGCTATGGAAGCTAATTGAGTGACTTTGGGCAATCACTCTCACTCAGTACTCAGTCTTATCTCCCAAGGCTTTTATTGTGGTGAAAAATAGAGGTGGGAGTGTGCCTTGAGCTCTTAGAAGTAAGGCAGGATCTAATTCTAACAAACTCATAAATCAATAAAATAAAGCCAGGGAGCCCATAGCAGGGTCTTCTGCTATATCCCCTCCCATAGTTGCAGTTGAAATTCTAATTCTAACACTCCAAAAAGGAGAAAAAGTTTTGATCACATGAATATATCCATTTTAATATTTAAATTTATATTCAGTCAGGTTGATGGGAGATGTCATGGCCAAGCTGGCTTCATTAATCTAGTCCAGGGGTCTTCAAACATGGCCCTTTTATGACGTGTGGACTTCAATTCCGAGCGTGCCTGGCTGAGGAATTCTGGGAGTTGAAGTCCACATGTCATAAAAGGGCCAAGTTTGAAGACCCCTGATCTAGTCACACCCATTTACTATTATTTTTTTTTAGAGTTCAGCCCTCCAGTGTGCTCCCCAAAGATGTAGTGTGGCTATGAACCCAACCAAAATTGTGCTCTTTCAGTCTAAACTGAAAGATTTATAACCTGAGTTTCCTAAAATAATTTATTCCACGTTCAATTTCTTATTCTTTCTGTATCCAAGACCTGAATGGCCAATGCTCATGTGAATCTCCCTGGGAACAGTTTAGCTGCTTAAAGATTTCCAGCTCATCATATAATTATTCTTACTTACAGAGGATATCCAAAGTGATAGATGGAGAGGAAGTGCAGCCAATACTATTACATGCTTCGCATCTGTAAAAAGTGAACTGTGCCGGTTTTGCGAAGAACATCCGTGTTGAGTCCCAGCTTTCGGGCGTGTCAACACCTGACCCAAAAAATTTGTACCGGTTGTTGCTGGGGTAACTGCTGCCCACAGAGCAGTTCAAAATGACTTTGTCTCCTTCCTTTATGGGCAAATGATTTGAATGAAAAAGTTGGACATCCTTGGGGCGATCTGCAAAACAAAATCAATAGGTTTCTGATGCAGTACATAAACTCTAGAGTTCACCAGCTTTTGAAAGAGGTTCTTTGTGGTGATGACTTGCAGAGATGATTCAGAGTCCTCTGAAGTGTCTCTGCAAAGTTCTACCCCACTTTTAATTAGCAGAAGCACTGCACCCGAGGCAGGTTGGTTGCAGAAGTACAGCCATCCTGATTTACTTCTTTGTTGAGATGGCGCAGCGTGCAATGGGCTACAGTTTACAAAATATTGAATTGTGCTGTGAATTGTGTGAAAATGTCAATCCCAGTTGTGCCCTATTGATCCCAATTAAAAAGTACATATAAACAGCAGCTTCAGACTAGATTTTATAGACTGGCCAATTCATAATTAGAGCCACTTCAAACTGTTTTTTTTTGTTGTTGTTGTTGTTGTTGTTGTCATTGTAGGGAGGGAAGACAAATTTTATCATTTGAGGGAACAAAAGCTGTGAGTTTCATGTTCAGGATATTAGAATTAAAGAGTTCCATTACTCTGATAATTTTAGAATGAAAAATTGTCCACAAATTCAATTGCAACAACTGGAAATCTGTATTTTACCCTTCCATATAATGGCCTCTAAATCACATTATATGGAATTCTGCTGCTCTGAAGTGCCTTACTGGAGGAGAAGACATATACAACAAAGGCTTTGCAGCACTTACTCTCCAAGTGGTTGTTTGGACAAACAGAACATACAAGTGTGTGAATGTAGCAGCTTTGTGGTTTAAAATAACAGTGTCTTTTTCTCAACATCCCCAGCACCACCACCCTAAAAAAAAAGAATGGGTTGCTTTAAACTGTTACAGATTGGGGAGCAGACAACGGAAAAGATCTCCTGCTGATCCATAAGCAAAATGTAGCCATTAAACAGGTTTATCTCAGGGGCTGCCACAAAGAAGAGAGAGTCAAGCTATTTTCCAAAGCGCCTGAAGGCAAGACAAGAAGCAATGGATGGAAACTAATCAAGGAGAGAAGCAACCTAAAACTAAGGAGAAACTTCCTGACAGTTAACAATTAACCAGTGGAACAACCTGCCTCCAGAAGCGGTGAATGCTCCAACACTGGAAGTTTTTAAGAAGAAATTGGACAGCCATTTGTCCAAAGTGGTATAGGGTTACCTGCCTGAGCAAGGGGTTGGACTTGATGACCTCCAAGGTCCCTTCCAACTTTTTTATTATTATTATGGATCATCGCACAGTCAGCCAGATGTTCAGACTGGATTTGGCATTTTGTCTACCTATCGAATCCTTACCCAGGACCTGGGATAGGCAGATGTGGATGTTTGATGGTATTACAGATATCGTCGCAGGATGGAAGCAGGTCCTAATAAGGCCGCCTTTTGCAACTGACTAATAGCGAATTTGTCAATGCCAATTGTGTTCAAGTGGTGCTCCAGTTGTTTTGGGATTGCACCCAGGGAGCCTATGACTATTGGTACTACCCTTGCTTGCTTTTTTTTTTATTTTATTTTATTTTTATTGAAAATTTTTAAAATTTTACAAGACAAATCCCCTCCCCAAACCCCCCCACCCTCCCATACCCTCCCCCAACTCCCCAAACCTCCCTAACCCTCCCCTGGACCTCCCAGAGTTGATTACAGGCTTGTCCAAAATGTATCGAAAAAAAAAAAGAAAGGAAAAAATTAAAATACATATAAAACTTAAAACACATATAAATCCTAAACAAATCTAAATACCTTAAATTAAATAGATTATCTCTAAAAAATAATAATCATTAAACACATTATAATATACTCTAAAGATCTTCTAATCATGCTTATAATGTTATCCATCATTCTATATAAATTCCTTCCAAAACACAATTTTAAGCACTACTTTCTTTGAACATCTATAACTACAATATAAAATTTAATATAAATCATAAACAAATCTAAATACATTTAGTTAAACAAGTTATACTCTCTCCAAAACACAAATTTAAACATTACTTAAAACTTAAAACATTGGGATAAACAAGTTATACTCGCTCGAAAACACAGATTTAAACATTACTTAAAACTTAAAACATTAGAATCCCCTTGTACACATTTAATCAAATTCCATCTTAAAAATAGTAATAGTAATAATTAGGAAAAAAACCCAAACACTGAACACATTATAGTATACTCCAAACCTTCTAATATCATACTAATATTATTATCATTTTTATAAACTCCCCCAAAACACAAATTTAAACATTACTTAAAACTTAAAAAAATCCCTTATACACATTTAAATCTTTATCAATAACAAATTCCATCCACAATAAACACATTAAACATTTAAATCTTCACCAATAACAAGTTCCATCCACAAAAAACACAGTCCTTATCAGTCTCAATTGTCCATTTTCATTCTCCATCCATTATCATACTGATATTATTATTATCAATCTCGATTGTCCATTTTCATTCTCCATCCTTATCATTCTCTAATTTTCAGTCTCCATCTTTAAGCTTATCAAACTCGAAAAAAATGCTTTGGGATCTGCCTTTAAAAGTTGCTCCAGAATTCCTGAATCTCCCAACGACTCAAAAGCCAATACATGTGGGGATTCCTTAAACTCCTTAACAATTATATGTTGCACGGGTTTTCCTCTGCCCCTTCCTCTCAGCTTGTTGAGACCCCTCGGGCTGAGATTTCCCATTTTTCATCTCAGACAACAATTCCATCCTTGAAGATTGCTCCAAAGGGTTTATAAGTCTTGCTTCTCCCACAGATTCAGAAACCACTAGATGTGAAGCTTCCTTAATCTTCTTCTGTTGCTGCTTTTCTTTACAGTTTTGTGCTACACAAGTTATCTTCTGCTCCTCAATCTGAACGTGTTGAGATCTCTTAGACAAAGGTTCCCCAATATTGGAGTCTTCAAACTGTAATTCTACATTCTTCTCTTCCAAAGTTTTAAACTTAATAGATGGCGATGAACATACCCCCAGAACCGAAGTATAAAAATCTTTTGCTTGAGAGACAGTATTAAGTCTATAACATATCCCCAGGTAATTCACCACCATTCCAATCGGAACATCCCATCTGAACGAGATTCATCTCTTTTTAAGTTCATTTGCTAAAAAAGCAAACTCCTTTCTTCTTCTTAAAATTTTGGATGGGATCTTCTTTAAGATTATAACATCTTGTGAAGCAATTTGAAATCTCTTCTTATAAAAAGCTTGTATAATTTCATTGCGTAGAGATCTTTTCCCAAAATAAATTACCACATCTCTTGGCAAGTTCTTTTGCACTGCCACCACAGAATTAACTCTAAATAATTTTTCAATTTCACTAAGTATTTCCTCTTTTTCTTTATTCAAAATCACAGCAAAGTCCTTTGCAACCATCTCTTTCAGATCTCCTTGCAAGGACTCTCCCAAGCCTCTAATTCTTAAGGCATATTCCATTTGTCCATATTGAAGCATAAGAATCTCATTTTCCATTTCTTTTTCCATACTTTCAATTTTTCCCTCCATTAATTCCACTTTTTCAGCTACTTCCACACGGGAATTCAACTTTTCAAGAACAGAAGCAACTCCTTTTAAAGCCAAAACTATATCTTGCCTCAAAATCTTGTTATTTTCCTCTAAAATCTTTTTCATTTCTGCCCTAATTTGAATTGTAAAATTTCCCATCATTTCTTGCAAATCCTTCACAATTATTGGCTGGACCACAGAAGAGGGTGGAACTATTGATTTAGGAACTGTAAAAGTCCCTGGACGCTTTGGAGCCATCTTAAAAAAAAAAAAAAAACTTTACTCCTTTTTAAGAATTACAAAAATTCCTTCAAAAGAAAATCATAACTCCCTCAAAGGAAAATCTTTATAATAATAAAAAAGGAGGGAGTTAAAAAAGAAGAAAAAAGAAAAAAGGAATTAAAATATCCATTCCAGTCATTAAAAAGAAAAAAAGGGGGAGAAAAAAGACCCAAAAGGCCTGCCTTTTAAAAGTACAAAAGACAAAGCAAAAAAGTCAAACAAGAACAATAATGTTTAAAAAATTAAACAACAAAAATAATAATGCTTCTAAAATCCATCCAATCATTAAAAGGAAAAGAAAAGAGAAAGTAAAAGAAGCCGATCGCCATTCTAGCTTCCCAGAAAAAAAAACGCTAGAAAGTCTGCCGATCGCCATTTTACTTTCCCTTTCAGCAAAAAGTAAAAAGTAAAAGGAAAGAATATAAACATAAAAATAAGCCTTTAAACTTAAAATACATATAAAATCAAAGAAAGCAAAAAATAAATCCTCTAATCAACTCTGTCCGCTTCTAAAAAAAACTCACCAGATCCCTTTAAACACGGAGGTGGTTGCGACGGCTTGTTTTGTCCCTAGGGACAAAAGCAGCTGGGAAGCGGAGACAGTCTGAACTCCGTGGGAGCACTCTGTCACCCCCCCAAAAAAAAAATTGGGGGTACATAAGAGGCTCTACCACTATTCAGACAACCCTCTTCCCCCCCCTTTGCCCGGGAGGGGGATTTTGAACCGCTGAACAGCTGATGTATGCTGTTCATAGCGATTCATTACACTTACCCAGGAGGACGGCTACAAAGTAGCCGCCATCACCCGCGCAGATCCACCGGAAGTCCTACCCTTGCTTGCTTTTGCCACAGTCTTTCTATTTCTATTTGTAGGTCTTTGTATTTTGTTATCTTCTCCAGTTCTTTCTCTTCTATTCTGCTATCTATTATTATTATTATTATTATTATTGTTATTATTATTGTTATTGTTATTGTTATTATTATTATACTTACAACGAACATTCAGTGTGACAGATGCATTTGACTGGCCAATTTTATTGCGGGCCACACAATGATAGGTACCAGAATTCCTGGGTTGAATTCCCTCAAATCGCAGATCCTTTTTAGCTGTGATAATATCAGGTTTGCTGCTTTTGTACCATTCATAACCACTGATGGAAGGATTGCCAGTGGCTGAACAGGTCAAACTCACATAGTCCTTTTCTTGGATGGGTGAGTGTGACATTATAATGTTGACTTTTGGTGGATCTGGGGAATTGAAAACAAAATTGATCTCAGTTTTTTTGTAAGTCAAATATTTGACAATTTTTTTCTCCTGAAGAGGCAAGGGATTAAATTAATTTGATGTGGACAAGAAGACAATAACAAGAAGGAGAACAGTTTTGAACACATAAATATATCCACTTTAATATTTAAATTTAAATTCAGTCAAAAGCCCAGCCCGCTTTATTAATGTAGTCACACTCATTTTTTATTTTTATTTTTTAGTTTTCAGCTCTCTGGTGTAGTGCTCAAAGATGTAATGTGGCTCTGAACCCAGCTATTTGGATTGGACTCAGCTGAGTATTGCAATTGAGCCTGCAATTTGTGTTGTGTCATCGCATGATACACACACACAAACACTCTCCCCCCTGATTTTTGAGGTGGTCATTAAGCAAACATCATGACTGTTAAGTAAAACCATTGCTTGCTATCAGCATTTTTTGCCAGAAATAAGGAAAGTTGGTTTCCAGAAAAATAACAGTAGCAATAGCCAGACTTATATACCACTTCTCAGTGCTTTACAGCCTCTCTAAGTGGTTTACAGAATCACCATATTGCCCCTGAACAATCTGGGTCCTCATTTTACTGGTCTCGGAAGGATGGAAGGCTGAGTCAACCTTGAGCTGGTGAGAATCGAACTGCTGGCAGTGGGCAGAATTTGCTTGTAATATTGCATTCTAATCACTGCGCCACTACGTCTCTTATAACATTGTAAATTGTAGTCACATGACTGCAGGATGCTGTAAATGGCCATAAAAATGGTTTGTAAGTCAAGGACTACCTGTATTGTTCTGGACTTTATTCAATATGCTGATTTTATCTTTTAAAAGTTTGAACCCTGACCATTAAATAGATCCCTTTTTTTATTAAGACCTCTCTGGGCTTCCCAATCTGTAAAACAGAGGTGTTCAAAGCGCTACGATTTACAGAAATAATATCATTCCACTAAACACTTTCAAAATCTGGAATCTCATTCTTTCCTTCTTTAAACTGACTTTTTTACATTTATCTATAGAATTATTGGGGGGAAGGTTCTTTGGATTTATTTCTTGTTTGGAAGATTGCCGTTTTCAGTTTTGTTTAAAGAGTTTCGTTTCATTTTTAAAGATTTTATTTATTTATTTTTCTTTTTAGGAAGTTATGCATACATTTTTTTCTCTCTTTTTCTCACTATATATAGAATTGTTAAGATTTTTTTAATAAAAATATTTACTCTTTTGTACAATAGTAAAGAAATCTTACTTCTAATGCTTTTAATGTTTAATTAAATGATACTTTTCAAAAAGAAAAGAGAAAAAAAGTAGCAGGTTTTGGCATTTTACAATGCAATTTTACACGGGAATCATTGTTACTATACAAAAGGGATTGCATTTCCAGATCATTATGGAAAGACTAATAGTATTATAGATTTTCCAAAATTCTGAGATGTAAATTTAAAATCTACAAGTATTCTACAATATCTACAAATATTCAATTATACCCATGTTTCCTTTTCTATGGTGGATAAATAAAATGCAGGAACATATCATATATATTTTCAAATAAGCTGAGACTTTTAGGTGTCAAAAGGCACTGAAAAATTGTGTTTGGTTTATCTGCAGATAGGCTTATGCACAAGTACATACAGTAATACATTTTTAACATACCCATATATTTTGTATCTACTTACATTCAAGCCCATCCGAGGATAAGCTGACCCTCACATTTTTACCCAAAGTACCATGAAAAATGGATAATCCATAGATTGTCCACAGATAAACCACTTGTGAAAATAAAACATACGAACATTTCTAGAGTCAGCTTATCTGTAGGTAACATATTTTTCATGGTATTTTAATTAAAAATTCAAGGGTTGACTTATTGGCAGATGAAAATATCTTCAGAGGAACTGGACAGTGAATAGGCCTTAAAAGAAAATTGGTGCTCAGCAGCACCAATTAATAAACTCACACTGGACGTTGATCGTCAGTCTTCCAGAGTTGACACTTTCAATCACATTAGTAGCTTGACAACTGTAACTGCCAGAATCTGTTTCTTTTAAACTATCAAACTCCCTTCTGGAGCCGAACAGCCAATCTTTCCAAGGTATATCATTCTTAAACCACTGATAAGAATACACCACCGGATTACTGCTGTTAACTATACATTCCAGAGTGAGCTTGTCTCCTTCTCGGACTGTGTCTCCAGGATCAGCATTCACTTTAACTCCTTTGGGACCATCTAAAACAAACAAGACTCAGAATTAAAATAAAACAAAGCAAAAATGACTAAGAAACTGATTGACACAATTAAGATTCAATTTTCTAGAATTATAGTTACCTCATGGAAACAACTCATTTCAATTTCATAGAGATTCCCAGAGTCAAAGATGAGTGGGCATTAATTTTTTTAAAAAATAATACTTTTTACTCAGCAAAAATACGTAATCTTCTTTCCCTTTTAGTCTGCAGAATGTTTTTAGCCTTGTGCCTAATTTGGAATATTGTCTCCCACAGAAAAATGAAATTATTATATGAAGCATCAAACTATCAAGCCATGCAATTTAGGCTTCTCAACAGCCATTAGTTTGGTATAAACAACATACTTAACTTGATATTGTATTAAACCCATTTTTCTGGATTCTCACAATATGTTTGACTTAGAATCAATTTTATCAACAGAGCAGGTCTCTCTCCTGCCCAAACTATAACTAACTGAGATTAAAACCAAACAAACTAGCTTGCTGGTTTTCTGAATACAGTTCCTAGTTTTTTACATAATTGGTTGTGACGTGTATGTGTATACACAACCACTGTATGGAATCTATAGCCCTTTCCTGAAATTCTAGAAAACAGAGACAGGAATTTTTGAAGGCCACGATTATTAAAGGTCTTCCATTTACACATGGAGATTCTTTTGTGTACCAAAGCAAACGACTTGAATTGTTGGCCCAAATCCTTCAAACAGAATTCATATTAGACAAAATGTTCTTTCCATGAGTCGCCATTTCCATGGATGTCCTCAGGGTGTGGTCAATATATGAAGCATTTAAAAATGGGCAAAAGTTTGATCAACTCATCGTGTCCACCACCTTGACTATTTTGACCCCTGCATTCCACTTGACCCCTGCATCCATTTTCATCCCATTGTACACTCACATTTCACCTCCAGATTTGCAAATGGTTTCTTTATTTCTCTCCCATCAGCAGTTTTTAGCAAGCATGTCAATTGTTTCTCATGGTCCTCCCAAGTGGCCATGAAAGATAGTTCAGTCTGTACTGTTTGGAGTTTAGTGGTTGTTTCTGGGGACCACACATGATGATCTTCTAATCCTTGAATAGATAATGTTATGGGCTCATCTAAGCAACTATAAGGTATTGAACATGCCACTTGATACACACTGTTTTCTTTCCCTTCTGTGGACACTATCTCTATCAGTTCTGAAGGGGACTCTGCAATCAGATAACAGAAGAGAGAAAATATTTTACACAGATGTGGAACAAAGTTGAATTGCTCTTTAAAGAGAAAATTTATTAATTTAGAAATCTACCATGTTTAAACCAGAATTTTATCATGTGCTCAGATTGAACTCTGGAGTGAAGGAAGAAAAGCCAAAACAATCCTTTTACATTTAATATATGTTTAATTTACCCCCTCCCCAGCTACCACACTAAAAAATATAATTTATTGGAAAAAAAAGGATAGAGACTAAGAATGTAACTTGTATTATTAACCAGACGAATTAACCCACACAACACGATATTTATTAAGCACCAATCAAGTGTAATAATAGAAAAATATTTTTTAAAATAAATAAATAAATAAATAAATAATCCTCAACTTACAACCATTCATTTAGTGACCAGAGCTACAACTGCACTGAAAAAAAGTGACATGACCCTTTTTTGACACTTACGACCATCGCAGCATCCCCAGGGTTATGTAATCAAAATTCTGACACTTGGCAATTGACTCATATTTATGACAGTCGCAGTGTCACATGTTGTGAGTATCTGACGAGCAAAGTCGACTGGGAAGCCAGATTCACTTAACAACTGTGTGACTGACTTAACAACTGTCGTAAGTCACTTAACAGTGGCCACAAGAGAGATCGTAAAAGGGGGCAAAATTCACTTCAGAGCTGTCTCACTTAGCAAAGGATATGTTTGAGCTTAATTGTGGTCGTAAATTGAGGACTACCTGTACACTATGGCACTATTATGAATACATAATTTTATGTAATATGTAATTTTATGTAGCATATAAATATAGGGTAATTATATCTAGCTTTTAGCCTTTAACAACAACATGCCAGCTGTAAGGTTTTTAATTGAATTTCATTATAAAATAAATAAGACAGAAAAAGTAAAAGTTGGGAAAGTAAGAGAAAGAAAAAAATGCAAAGAGACTTTTTTTCAGTGTAATAAAATACAGACAAAAAAATATTTATAATTCAGCAGCAATATCTGTATCCAAAGTATTTTGGAGAAGGACACAGTGGTAGTAAGGCTCAGGTTGAGCACCTCTTGATTGGAAAGATGGAAGGACAATAAGCCAGAATATTATAATTGTGCATCAGTCAAGCAGTCACGGTAAGGAGGAAGGTATGTTTCTGAACAATCTTTCATCTGTACTTGAGAAAATATGACTGATCTATTGAGCACATCCTTCTGCTGAATTAGGAGAACTGAGTATGTGAAGTATCCATAGATGGAAAGCACTATTTTCTTATTGCAGCCTTTGAAAGTTATGCCTTAATTAACAACCTACAATCATGTATATATTGGAAGTTCCAAGTCCAAGGTTTACTGGTGGTGTTTTGAAAAGGAAGGTTTTTGTATGGAGAAAGATATGGAGAAAGAGGGGGAAGAGACAATTTTTCTCAGAAGGACTTACCACGAACGGTAATAGTAACTTTACCAAGCCATTTCTGTTGATTAGGCAACATTCCAGCTCTCCAATAAAGTCTGATCCCATAATCACCTGTATCGCTTGGGCGGAGCTGGGAAATTTTCAAACTGCAGTTTTTTCTTCCTAAATTACCCACGAATTTCACTCGATTACGGAACTCAGAACTGACTGCAGTTGTAGTCTGGTTGCTGTTGTATAAGAGCTTTCCGTTGTAATCATTTAGGGTTTTATTAAATAAAGGCTGAAAATACCAAGCAAAGGACACCTGGTTGAGAGGTCGACTTTTATACTCCTCTTCGATGTTGCATGAAATGAGCACACAAGATCCCTCCCAAGCACTTAAGGTTTTGGGTATCAAAGATAATGGATCACCTCCTAGAGAACCTGAAAAGAGAATCAAATAATATTTGGTTAAGAGGTCCATCTCCTTACCTCTCAAAACAAAAATGCACTGAGAGAGTAACACGTCAGTAGCGTTTCCTTACGTCTACAGTGAAAACCCTCCATCTCATCCCAGATTCTACTCACTGTTTGGAAGTGGATAAAAAGTGATACTATTATAAAGAAATGCAATGATCAAGTCATACTTAGTTCCAAGAAACTATTGATGGTCTCAAAGAGAGTTGCATTACAAAAAGAAAAATGCAACAACATCAAACTCATCAATTTAGAAGAATAGAATAGAATAGAATAGAATAGAATAGAATAGAATAGAATAGAATAGAATAGAATAGAATAGAATAGAATAGAATAGAAAATATGGAGTGGAATAGAATAGAATAGAATAGAATAGAATAGAATAGAATAGAATAGAATAGAATAGAATAGAATAGAATAGAAAATATGGAGTGGAATGGAATGGAATAGAATAGAATAGAATAGAATAGAATAGAATAGAATAGAATAGAATAGAATAGAATAGAATAGAATAGAAAATATGGAGTGGAATGGAATGGAATGGAATAGAATAGAATAGAATAGAATAGAATAGAATAGAATAGAATAGAATAGAATAGAATAGAATAGAATAGAATAGAATAGAAAATATGGAGTGGAATGGAATAGAATAGAATAGAATAGAATAGAATAGAATATTTCTCTATTGGCCAAATGTGATTGGACACACAAGAAATTTGTCTCCAGTGCATAAGCTCTCAGTGTACATACAAACAACAAAGTGATACATCATAGATCATAAATTATAAGATATAATCATAAATCATAAGATACAAGGACAATTGATAAATCATAATATACCAATAGGAAAAGATAATAGGAAAGATGAAATGTGAGAAAGATGAGAAGATGACAAAGATAATAGCAATACAGTCTACTACATGGGTAAAATATCTGTGGGCAGAAGATGGTGCTGCTTGAAAGAAATATCAAAATCTCTCCCTTCTCATTCCCTGCATAAAACCCAAACTGACTTTCCTTGACCTGTTGATGGAAACCCATCCTCCATTATACAACAGGAGATCGGGCTACTTTAAAAATGAAGGTCTTATTATCACCAGCTTCCAGCATCAGTAGCCTACAGCAGCTATCACATTCTTCCTAAAAGTAGAGTCAACTCTTTTTTCTAGGTAGACCTTTGCTGTGTGCAATGACTATTCAAAGTTATCACTTTGCCATTAATCCTCACATTTATAACCATTGCAGTATCCCTCAGTCATGTGGTCACTATTGGCATACTGTATTTTTCAACAAGGAGACATTTACAACTGTGTCAGTTACCAAGTTGCCAGTCTCAATTGTGATTACTAAGTGAGATTACCTATACATAAGGATGCACCAGACTCTAGAGTTCGACTACACAAAATCTATCAACGGTTAGCTTTTCAATTGGCTTTATATTATTAGTCAGGTCAGTCAATATGATTCTCTATATTCTATTCAGTTTGATGTTGAAAAATTGATTCTTATAATTGTATAAATATGACTTTATAGTCATGGGTTTATTATATTGATTCATCATATAATGAATGACTTTTTTGTATTTTTTGTTTCTTTTTGTTAGTTTTCATTTGTTTTTTTTCTAATTTTACTGTCTAATTGCCTTTTAGCATGTACAATAGTTTTTTTTGAATAGTATGAAACCTTAGTATTATATTTAGCATTTATCACTCGTAATGTTTAAATCAAACTCAGTAATAATTAGAATATTTTTTAAAAAACCAAGTTGTAAGTATGAATAAACTCTTAGACTTACTTCAATTATCTTCTTCAGACCTAGACTACAGATTATTAATTTCACTTTGATTAGGGGTTGTTCCTACTTATTTATCTTTTACTATATTTAAAGGATTGATTTGCCACCAACATCCTGCTTAGAAAGGAAGAGCCAACTGTGCCATGACATTAGTCATATAATGTGACAACAAGCACATTTTGTGGTTGTGTTGACACTTATGCCATATTGAAACCATTAGTGTGGGAGATTTTCAAGGGACGCTTGCAAAAGCATATGATATATCAATAACATTCTCAAAGAGATTGTTTTTGCTTACACTATGTTAGAAAGATTTTGAAAATTATTAAATTTCTTCCAGGGTCCAGAAGATGCCTGAATTTCATGACTGTTTATTTATCTAGCAAAAGAAAAAAAATCTCAACAACCTAAAATTCTACAATTAAATTATGAAAATATCACAAAATAGCCCTATGGAACAATTTGAATTTATTTTCCCTGCCCATAAAGCATCTGAATGCAACGATTTAAGTCCAGAAAGTTAAAATCTACACCAACTTTCCTAGTTATAGAAGAGGCTGAAATTAAAAGAAGGTCTAGGGTCTCACAGTAGCAGTGTTCAAATATCTAAGGGGCTGCCTCAAAGAAAAAGGGGGTCAACCTATTCTCCAAAACACTTAAGGGCAGGATAGGAAGCAAAGGATGGAAACTAATCAAGGAGAGAAGTAACCTAGAACTAAAGAGAAATTTCCTGACAGTGAGAACAATTAAGTAGTGAACTGACTTGCCTCAAGAAGCTTTGAGTACTCCAACATTAGAGATTTTTAAGAAGAGATTGGACAGCCATTTGTCTGGAATAGTATAGGGTTTCCTCCCTGAGCAGGGGATTGGACTAGAAGACCTCAAAGTTCCCTTCCAACTCTGTTATTCTGTTTTGTTCTAAAAAAAAACCTCATAGAAGCAAAATCTTTTGCAAAGAATATCTTAGTGAAGTAATAAAACAGAGCTGGAAAATGCAACTGGTAAATATGCTGAATGTTATATCACAGGGTAAGAAGTGATAGCTTTATTTCTACCCATCCACTAGGCAATTTGGCAGTCCAAGGATTTCAGTTCTGAACCTTGAATTATCCCTAAGGGTTTCACAAGACAACTCTCTGCCATTAAAATCTATTGTAATCCAGATTCCCTTCTCTCCCTTGACAAAATATACTGACCCCCCCCCCACACACACACACTTGCTCTACACAAATTTATAACAATTACCTGGAAGGAACAGCAGCCATAAGAAACACCTCATTGTGAGTTTAAGCCTACGGAAAGAGAGCAGAGTACAGGTTGTAGGCACTGCTAGCTGATACAACAGGTCATTATTAAAGTTTACAACATACAACAGGTCATTATTAAAGTTTGCAACACCGTACACAGGATGTTTATGGAAATAAGAATGGTTTTTCACTCAGTGGGGGATTCCGTTACAGTTTAGTTCCCAATTTCTTAGCTGTTTCTTTTTCGAAGCTATTTCCTAGCAACCCCATCAACCAAAAGTCGAGACGATATTTGTGTATATCAGGCTGATATATTTTTTTCCTGCCCCTAAAATGAAGTTAGAAAATAAAATAGGCAAGGCTATCCACAGATCATGACTTGCCTTGTAGATCATACCGGATCTTGCAAAATTGAGGTTCTGGACTTGCTTCCGAAGAATCAGCTCCTCATTCTCCCAGTAGTGCAGTACAAGACCAAAAAAACCACGGCAATCCCTTCTCTGTGGTGGTCAAACAGCTTGTGTCACCAAGTTCTGCACATCTGTTATTGTTACTTCCTTCTTGCCATCCTTGAGTGACACACGATCTGAGTGCATCCGCTAAGGTCAAGCTTGGCTTCATCGGTTACATCTTGGTAGCTCAAGCAGTTTAAGACCACTTAGGCACCCTGTTTAGTGGTTGCCAGAAATTTAAAAGGTGGGCAGGGCATCAGGGAACAGGGTTCTTCTTTGAGTAAACCTAAGAGAGAGACTGGGCCAGCTAAGGATAACTGGCTGCCCCCACAGGCTGCCACATGAAATGATGAGTTCTCCCTTTGCCAGAGGTCTTCAAAGAGAAGCTGGAAGACCATCTCTCTAAGATGCTCAACCACTAACAGAGTGCTAGTTTCAATGATCTTCACATGACCTTCAGTTTTATGATTCAATTACATTTCCATATTCCTGAAACACTGGATGACATGATTGAAATTCAACAGTCCATTGTCAGGATGCTGTTTCCCAAAAAAGCACCACTTTGTTATAATAGTTGTAGTCATTATGGGCTCCAGGCCAGTTCTAGTCCATGAGTTCTAGTCTGACCATAGGAACAAAAGCCAGTTGGGTGACCTTGGACTGGCCCCATTCTCTCAACCGGAGGAAGAAGACACTGGCAAAAAAAAAAAAAAAAACCCTTCCCAAAACTCTTGCTCAGAAAACTATAGGAACTAGTCCATGAGCCAACTCTGACTCAAAGGAACAAAAAAAAATGTTCAAAAATCCAATAGTACTAGATTAGGAATTAGAAAATGAAAGAAAAGAACATTGCAGATTTAGCCCTAAAATAGAAGAAGGGGGAACTCCTGGGTTTTTTTAAAAAAAACTGATAATCCAGTAATTGACGTAATTATTATTTATTATTTATTTATTAAATTTTTATGCCACCCACCTCCCTGATAAGGCAACTCTGGGTGAGTTACAGATCGTAATTCCAAGATGCACAATTTCTACCACATCAATAGACAAAAGTTCTTCTATAGGTTCTTCTTTTCAGTGTATTTTTTTTTTGTGCAGAACACAATATGTTTACCTCTGAAGATATACACAGTCTTCAACTTGATCTATAGAGGTGTTATTTATAATAAATATATTATATAATAAAAAGGAGTTCTTCCCCAGCTTCGGTCAACAAGTTTCTCATTCCACAAAAAAAGTAATATAAGATAATCCTAAGGACCCTTACACCCATGTTTAGCTTTCTGTAGAAGCTCAGATGTACCAATAAAAATGAGGAATTTAGAAAAAAAAACCACTTTCTGCACTAGCTGTTAGTAGCAAAAAAACCCCAACTGCTTCAACACAAAAATAAATTATCGACCTATGAATGATGTTCAGAAACAATTCTTCTTTCATATAGTTGTGCAAACAATCTGTTAGATTTAGCAGGTTTGTTCAATGAACAAATAGTTTTCTTCCATTTAATTTTACCAACTTCCCATATCTATTTTAGATAGAAAATACAGGAAGGACTGAAATTGCAAAAGGAGCAGCTGAAACATTCTGACCTGATGCTTGATTATTTGAATTAACTGCATGATTCATGTTTCTTCAGAAAATTGTTATTTGGCAACTGCAGCCTAATGATGCAAGTTTTCTGAGTTGAGTTGGGTTAGGTTGGACTGGATTTTCAAATAGCTTAATAGCTAGATGGTGGCAAATGGCTGACCTTGTGACAAACAATGACCAGGCTGGGGAAAGGCTATGACTAGATCCAGGTTCCCCAAAGTGTTCACTATTAACCCCCAAGGCCTAGTGGGCTATCCAAAAGGTTTGATAAATAGTTGGGGATCAAAAGGGGATCAGTAAATGTATGGGACTCTATAGGCAGTTGATAAATGAAGAAATGTCAGGGACAATCAGATTATAATTATCTGATGAAAAAAGTTTGGAAATCATTTCTGTATTTCTTTAGTTTTCTTTTTCTTGCACTTTTTTGTTGTTCTTTTCTTCCTTTGAGTCCTCTTATTATTATGGTTCATCGCATAGCCAGCCAGAATGTCAACATCCAACTTGAGGATCCAGATTCATCCTGTTTCTGAAAATCTTACTGTTTATTGAATACATAACATGGTAATGTTGAAGCAAAACTAACTCTGAGTGTAAGGACCCGCCCCACTTTGCATCTTAAGAAGACAGAACTCTTGGAATATCTCTTCCAACAGGCATATTTATTAAGAGAAAATGGTTGCAGGCATTCTAGACAGGACTTGGGGACCAAGCCCTATGGTTCAAGGTTTTAAGGGGTTCCCAGCAACCACACCCCACCCCACCATCCTTCCAGTGACATCCCAGGCATTACATTTCCACCCCGAGAGATGTGACAACATGTCTTTCATGAGGGGCAGAGGGTATAGGTTGCTTTCATTGATTGTATTTAGGGCCCTATAATCCATGCATAAGCGTAAAGAGCCGTCCTTCTTCTCTCTAAAGAGGACTGGGGCAGCCACTTTAGACTTGGCTGGTTCAATGAACCCCCTTTCTAGGTTTTTCTTTATGAATCTTTCCATTTCCTCCTTCTCCTTTGGTCTCATGGAGTATAATCTGGGCTTCGGGAGTTTTGCCCCAGGCTTGAATTCAATGGCACAGTCTGAGGGTTGGTGGGGGGAAGCTCATCCACTCTCTCCTCACTGAAAACTTCAGCAAGGTCTCTGTATTCCTCTGGTATTTCTGGTAGTCCCTTTTCCTCTCCCACAGATGCTTTTTCTGTTCTTGATTCTGGTAGCCCCCCTTGGGATTTTAAGTCCATATGGTCCACCTTCGGGAATTTGATTTCTGCCATCCTCCAATTCACCCAGGGGTTCCATTTTTTTAACCATTCCATCCCTAGGATCATCGGGCATTCCATGCCTGGGGTCACTACAAATGTTATGTCTTCCTCATGTTTGCCCAGAGAGAGGTGTATTGGTAAAGTGGCTAGGGTAGCTGACACCCCCCCTGCTATGGACCCCCCCATCTAACTGGCCAAATGAGATTGGTTGTTCCAGTCTCCTTGACGTAATGCCCAGATTCCCCACTAGCGTCGGGCTAATGAGGCAGTGGATGCAGCCAGAGTCTATTAAGGCTTTCACTTTCACGGCTTCGGGCATGGGGGGAATTAATATAGTCACTGTCTTGAGGATGGGTGCGATGCGTCCACTTACCAGGGGTTTGCCTTTCAAGTTGTCATCTGAGGTGTCCACTGGCCGTGCGGTGTAGGATGGAGTTCTTTCCCCCTGATGAGCAGAGATGGGGGATTCCACAGCCTCCATCATTCTCATGGCAGGCTCTTTTGGCTTACCTGGAGACTTTCCGGATTTGCTGGCCGGTGATCTGTCTGGGCTGTGCTGGGGGGCTTTTGAGCAGCATTCTACAGCCCAATGCCCTTCTCTCCCACACTTGAAACACCCCATTTGCTTCTTGGCCATCGCCGATGGTTTCACTGGTTCACATGTCAACCCAGGCGTGAGCGGCTCCATTGTTTTCCTCGGTGGTGCCTCTTCAGTATGTCGATTTCTGCTTCCTCTGCCAAGACATACCATTCTTTAAGTTGGTGTGGGTCCCCTCGGGGCTGGCAAGCATCATATAGGTCATAATTTAGTCCGTCATTGAAATGGCTAAGGAGGATGTCTTCCGGCCAGTTCAATTTGCTGTCAATGGTCCAGAATTCTTGCGTACATTTGGCCTCAAATCGCCTTCTCAGAGAGGACATGAAACGGTTGAAGCCGTTGAGCTCTGGGGCATTGGAGTCATGCAAGTTCACCACCTAATCAGTGGCCAGCCCATCCAGGGCAGATTGCACGATCCGGATACGGGCTTTGTCTCTGGGGATGTGCTGCCTGTATTCCTCCATGTAGCTGAGGACTTGGGTTAGGAAAAATCCCAAGCGTGTTGGCTCCCCCTTGAATCTCACGTCCAGTGGCAGGAGTCTTTGAATGGATCGGTGCCTTCGTTGTCGGTGGTAGTGTCTTCCATCCAGATCGCCATCTGCAGGTCGGCAGGGAGTGGTGGCTACTGGATCAGCAGATGTCCCCGGGGCTGCAGGTTCCACTTCCCCCTTGGTGTCTCTCCCTTTGCAGCTCCAGAAGCTGGGGCGGCCGTAGGGCTCAGAATTCTCCTCTCCTAGGGAGCTGAGAGTTCTCTTCGTCAGGTCGATAGCTTTCTCTAGGATCCAGTCTGAGTACGGTGCCCAGCTCCCTTCCTCTTCACTTGAGTGCAGGGATTTCTCCATCTCCTGCTTCCATTCTGATTGGTTGGCCCCCCATCTCACCTTTCTTGATTTCTTTTCCCACTTGCCTTTCTTTCCAACACCCATTGACCACAAGGTTTGTGGTCCCGTGTCTCCACCATCTCTTCTCCTGAGGAATCTGACCTCTCAGATCCCAACATCTGGCAGGGTTTCAGTCGGGGCAATGGCTCCCTTCCCAGGGAGTTTTCTCCCTTCCCTGCTCCGTCGTCTGACATGGTAATTTTTGCAAAATCCCCTGGCAAGGTTCTCCCTTCCAGGTGGACTAATTCTGCAAGTCCTTTCTATTGTAAGGACCCACCCCACTTTGCATCTTAAGAAGATAGAACTCTTGGAATATTTCTTCCAACAGGCATCTTTATCAAGAGAAAATGGTTGCAGGCATTCTAGACAGGACTTGGGGGCCAAGCCCTATGGTTCAACGTTTTAAGGGGGTCCCAGCAACCCCACCCCACCCCACTATCCTTCCAGTGACAATCCCAGGGTTACATTTCCACCCCCTTTTTCCTCAGGGCCTGCGGAAGAGAGACTTCAGAGAGGAGCAGATGAAAGCAGATGGCCCCTTTGTTGTGGTTAGTCCTTTTGGTGGTATCCACATTCAGTCCCTTTTGAAGTTGTACCAAAGGATGTGAGGACCATAAAACCCCTTTGTTCACCTCCTTTCCATCATATGACAGAATCCAGAGAAGGCAGAAATGGGGTTTTCCATAGTCAATAACATATTGTTCATATTGTTGTTATTTGTAATACAATTCAAATAGTATTTATTAAATTATTTCAGTAAATGTTTGGGAATCAAGAAACTGAAACTTCATGTACAGGTTGATGAGCTGAAGATTTTGAGGAACCCTGGAATACTGTATGCAAACCTTTTGCATCAAATAAGAGCCAAAAAGGGCAGCTATTAGTTTTTAGCAACATAAAGAGCACACCAATGCTGATTCTAAGAATGCCCTTTTTTATTTAAAAAAAAAATTATAGTCTTCTTTCTTTAAAAACATATTCAAGTAACAGTTAAAATGAACACAGGAAGTAAAGTGAAATAAATCCAAATTCACAAAAAAATGTATGAATTCTGTTTCTTTTCTTCTCTTTTTTATTTCACTTCTTCCAAGTCTTCCAATGGGGCCCCTTCATCCTCCATGTCAGTCTTTATCCATTCTTCTTTGAAGCTTCAAGTATAATGGGAAAAAAGAGAAGTAAGTACTATCTTGTGAGTAAATAAGATCATGTCAGTAAGATTTTACAACATTATTGCAGAATAAAGAAGTATGAGAATACTTGTAAGAGATATAGGACATAGTACTGTTAAGAAAAAAAGAAAAAATGTACTTTGTATTTTGTTGTTTGTAAAGAGGAAAAGGAAAAATAAAATTTAAAGAGCAACAGATTATCAAGTACTACAAGAAGATCAGGAATTAAAGAGAGGCACTTGAAAAAGGCAACAGCTAAATTAAAGCTTGGTAGCTAGCTACTCCCACAGACCAGAGTATCAGTGGCACCCTAAAATAACACTTATATCCAGAGGCATTTTTCAGGGCAACTCCAGAAAAGGATCCAGATTATGAGGAGAATGCATATTTTAGGGGAAAATTAAGATGAAGTTGCATATTTTAAGAGGAAATGCATGCAATCTCATTGCAAATATTCACTTTTTCCAGAAGAAAAATATAAAAAGTATGTTTTAAAGAGAGATGGAATGGATTAATGACTGAAGATGTCTCAAGCATAGCAACTATGTGGATGTATGAGCAAAGATTACTCACAAAGTACATGCAGCGTAATAGCTGGGGAGCATGAGCTGCCCACACTGTTTTCAGCTTCACAGTGATAGGTGCCTGAATGGTTGGGATTTGTTTTTAAGATGGTCAGGACATGGGCTGTAAAATCCAGCAGTTCCTCATTTTTATACCATTTGAAAGTCAGATCCATGGGCTTTGCTATTTCCACATTTCAGATAAACAGAGGCAAATTCATGGATCCGCCCTTCTGGCTTTTGCAGAATTGTAACCTCCTTGGGAGCAATTAGAAAACATAAAGAACAAGATTCACATGGAGATGACCTGCCCCTTCCATAATTTCATCTGGGACCGAGCATAGGAAAATGGTGCCACCTGATAACCCACATTAATTCTACTGCAGAAAAGTCCGATTGTACGAAATAGAAATTCAAATTATTATAATACAGTAAAATTACATTAGTGACCCTTAACAGAGTCTCTGGAAAATCCATGAGACTGAGGGGGAATGTGTGTCCTCCCTTCTGTTCCATAGGAGGCTATTTCCATAGGAAGAAATCCCCACAGATCAGTGTTCCTCAACCATGGCCACTTGAAGATTATGGACTTCAACTCCCAGAATTCAAGTTCACACCTCTTTAAGCTGTCAAGCCTGAAAACACTGCTATAAAGAACACCAACTTTCAGGCCACCTCCCATCCCGCTTCCTGACCCTAAGCAGGCATTGTGGTTTAGATCTCCTCCCCACAAAACCCCATGTCTTTTGGGGACTATTATTATATTTCCTTCCTTTGGTGATTCAAGATTTCAAATCTGTAAATGAATTAGTATTACTCACAGAAGACCTCCAGTGTGACTACTGGAGATGAAGTGCAGCCAATCCTGTTGCATACTTCACATTCATAAGAAGTATTGTAAGGTCCAAGTGTTGCAGGGAAGGTCAATAAATTTGGCCCACTATATTTATATTCAATCATAGAGGGATCTGACTTAAACCAGTTGTACCAATTATCATTGGGCTTACTACTACCAAAAGAGCAGTTCATCATGATGGTATCTCCTTCCTTAATGGGCAGATCATTTAAAACAGCAAGCTGAACCTCCTTGGGAGCATCTGGAAAATCAAATCAATATGTCTCTTGGTGGAGGAAATAGACAGGAGTAAATATTATAAGGAAAGTGTATGTATAGAGCCATATGCAATGCCTGGATAAAGTAAACTAGCTGAAAAAAACCATGATTAAAACCACATATCTAAAATATGTGGATCTTAACTCCCAGAATTTCCCAGCCTACTTGTTGGAATTGAAGATCAGCTATTTCACAATTGCTGAGATTGAGAAACTCTGATCTAATCCTTTAATCCATATTGCCTTCTTCAGCGTAGCTCCTTTGACTTACATCTAACAAAAGAATGGCCCAGTAGAAAGCACAAATCTGAGTAATCAGATTACAGTATTGGAAAAGAGAATTATGTTGAAATTATGGGAAAAGACAATTATATTTAAATTATGTCTTTAAACAATCTCACTTTCCATGCTATTTCCCCTTTTTTGAAGGAACTAAATTGCAACAGAACATCCAGCATAGCACACATGTGGACTCTTTTATACATGCACACAGAGATGTCAGTACCATTGAGCTTCACAAGATATATTCCCGGAGCTTCATAGCTTTCACTTTCATGTAAACTCATTGAAGTCCTAGCAGAGAGTAGTGCCTAGCTGATCTTAGAAAATCTTGAAAAATTAAGCTGTGTCAGGCCCATTTAGAAGTTTAATTTGAGATCATATTGAAATATCAGGATTGTGCACTAGATTGAGAATCTCCCCCCCAAAAAAAAACCCCTCTATGCTAGATGGAGTAACAAACTATTTTCATAGTGCTGCCTAGAAAATGGCTTGAATATGTCCATTAAGTCAACTGGAGCCAACTCAACTTAAAAGAGACTTTACCACTTTCCTAAGTTCATTAAAACCATAGAATTTTACTCATCTTGAGTAGAACTTTCTCAGTTCCCCAAATCAGTTCAAAACTATGATCTTCATAGTTACACTGATTGTCCCCTCTTCACACTGTAAAGCATGCGACTGCATTAGTTTCAGAACTAACTATACTATGTTTGGAAGCCTTCTACTCATTCTGAGTAGAGTGAATGGATTCCTAAGCTTCTAGTCTCCTGTCCTGATAGCACTATATTCAAAAGGGAAATTTCCTTCTCCACTGTACACTTACATGTCACGTCCAGCATCACAGAGCTTTGAGATAACACTTGTGCTCCGGATTTGAACAAACAGCTCAGCATTTTCCCATTGTCCTCCCATGTTGGTTCAAAACTCAGCACAGTCTGAATCACTCCATTTCCAAGTGTTGTTTTTTGAGGTGGGAAGTGTTCTCCTTCTAAACCACTGAAAGTCAAGTTTACTAGTTTACGAGGGCAATGGTAAGGTACCGAACACATCACTCGGGTTAATTTCTTCTCCTGCATGTTCACAGGAATAGTTTCTAGGGTGGGCTCTGGAGGTGACTCTGAAAAGGAGAAAGTAAAATCAATAGCACTCTTAGACTGAGCACAAACTATGCTGAAATCAGAATCTGAAGAAGAGAAGATATAGGGGGAAGGTTATAAGACTCCTCTCCAAGCAATGAAACTATTATTACCAAGGAGAAAGTCATGAGTTATATTATCTCCAGTATTTCAGATTAGGAAAAACCTCTTAAGCTATGGTACTTATCACTAAATAGCATGATGGATGTTCCTTTCCTGTATCTATTCTCAATCTTGGCAACTTTAAGACTCATGGACTTCAACTCCCCAAATTTCCCAGCCAATCACACTGAAACAGAGACTGTTTGAGACATTCTTTGGAGCAGGAGATTGGATTCTGTGTTGTAAACCATGAATTTGTAGGGCTGAAAAGGACCACAGAGGTCATCTGGTCTACTCCTTCACAATATGCAGGGAACTCAATAAAACCATTCATGAGAGGTGTCTGTGCCGCCTCTTCCTAAAAACCAACAGCCCCTTCAATTATGGGGTTTGTTCAACATCCTTAACCCAGACCTCTTAAAGACCTGGTAGTTCTATTTATACAGGTCTGTTTATATATTTTATTTATATTGCTTAGCTAACCATTTGTGTTAGCTGGTGATACAGTACAATAAAGGCTGAAATGCCATGACTTTGTTCTGATAATGAAAGCTCTTTTAATTGTTCGTTATAATATTGTCCCTGGGGTTGTATTTAGCTTGTATAGTGTCATTGATTTGCTTTCTTTTTATTATATTATTTTTAAACCAATTTATGGGTATTGGGATATATGTCACATAGAGTTGTTGATGACTGGAGCAGCCTATAAGCCCAGTATAATCAATAAAAATAGATGGTTCAAACCCAGAAAATGAATTAATTCAACACTCTGTTTACATGTGTTACCAAACCCAGCTGATTATTTTAGTTGCTACATGGTTAGTGAACTAATTCTTTTTCTGTGTTTGCCCATTAGATTGACTTATAAACAGACAAAATGACCTGGGTTTTCATCATATATAAAATAACTACTTTAAGCATGTTTTTCCATGCTGCAGTATGAGCTTTGTCAATGACCAAGCTGTTGGTGTGAATGCACCTACGGTTTTGTGATAAATTGAAATCTGTTTCTTTATCCTTCCTGTGACCTGAAGCTTTGAAAATGATCCAAAATATAGATAAAAGAGAAGGGAGATTGCTTTTAAAAAGCCAACAAGAGATAGAAAGCTTAATGGGAACCAAGATGTATAAAAGCTTAGTGAGAACACATCATCTAGCCTTAATCTTGCCTTAATTTGTATAGTAGACTCTACAAATTAGAAATTAGAAGATGCTTCTTGTGAAAGAAACACACAGACATAGAAAACAGAGCTTTCTATCAGGTGATATTCATACTGAACATTTCTTACCAGTAACATTCAGTGTAGCAGTAAGGAACCGCTTGAATTGCCATGGGTATTTGTCAACTGAAACTGTCACCTTCACTTCATACGTGCCACTGTCAAGTGTTCGCACTGAAGTAATCAGCAAGCTGCAATCTCTGTTTGTTAAATTCCCAATGAACCATGTCCGGCTCGGTAAAGCATCATCAGATACAGTTGTGATGGTTCCAGAGGTTTGAGAACTGTTGTATAGCAGGATAGTTTTCCCATCGCTCCAGAAACTGTTTCCAAAAGGCTTAAAATTCCACACTATGGCTGTGGCATTGACTGTTGCAGAACTGAGCATTTGATTGACGTGGCATGGAATCACCACGCAGGTCTTTTCCCAGGCAACCAGAGAATTAGGAATGATGTTTATTGGATTTTCATCACAATGGAAAGCTGCAATAGGGAAATCATGATTTACAAATATTTATATGCTCCATGTAAATGAGGTACAATAGGAACAGGCAACTTTTGAAAACATGAAGTGTCCTAATTTTATATATATATATATATATATATAAAGAATTTTAGCAAAATTCATGAGATGTGAAATATCTTATGGGGAATATTTGCGTAATTGCTAGGAATAAGAAACAACTTCATGGCATAATTAACGTATCCCAAATCTAGAAGATAAACATTTTGCAAACTGGATACAGTCTAATGTTGTTCCGTGCTTATTGCTTCTGACAGTTGTTAGTATTTTCTCTTTGCATAGCTTTCACTGCCCTTGAAAATCACAAACTGAAAAGGTTTTTCAAATCACAACACATATATATTTGAATATCCAAGCATTTCATTTGTGATAAACATTACTTCCATTCACCAGCTGCCAATTTTTAATCAACAAGTTATGATTGCTGTGTTAGTAGCCAAGGAAGGGAAAGTTTACCTCCAGTTCCTAAAGCTATCCAAACATCCATCACTGGTGGTTAGTAACAGGAAACAGGAATTATAATAAATCCATTGCCATATTATCTCATGCTTTTACTCACAGATAACGTGAAGTGTGATTGTTGGAGAAAATGTCTTGCCCACACTGTTACTGGCTTCACACCAGTAGCTGCCAGATTGTGCTGGATCAATGTTTATAAGGTTCAAGTAGGCATGGGGAGAATCCAATAAAATCATTTCCCCATCTTTATACCACGTATAAGTGAGATTCGTGGGATTTGCTTCACCCACTTCACAATGCAACACAACATTCATGCCTTCCTCAATCTGACCTCCTGGATTTTTCCAAATTTTGACTTTCCTGGGAGCAACTGCAACAAGATAAAACAAAGGCATAAGATTAGCATCACCAATTGCAAAAACATTTGTCTTCGTGTTGTAACCAATGATGGGTTGGATCTGGCTCATACTGGCTTGTAGAACCAACAATTAAATTTTCTGAATTTTGCAAGCCAGCTGAGAACAGAGCTGAGCCATGACACCTAGTACAGTGATCAGCTATGTAGTGGCTGGCAACATGGTGCAATGGTAGCAATGGAGCTGACAGAACTGGTTGTTAAAGATTGACCAGCATATCACTGGCTGTAACTGATAGTTTCTGTAGATAAGATGGTTCCATATGGGGCTGTGCAAATCCTCTGTAGGTAGCAATAAGACTGTGAAGTTTTAAGAAGACTAAGACTGTGGTTGAAATACCTGGCAAATAAGAGCCAGTTTAATATAGCAATTAAGGCACCGGACTAGAAGCCAGAAGAATTTGAGTTCTGTCTTTAGTAGAAAGCCAGCTTGGTGACTTTAGCCAGTTACTCTCTCTTAGCCCTAGGACGAAGATAATAATAGTAATAATAATAATAATAATAATAATAATAATAATAATAATAATAATAATAATAATAATAATAATAATAGTAAAGTTGGAAGGGACCTTGGAGGTCATCTAGTCCAACCCCCTGCTCGGGCAGGAAACCCTACACCATTTCGGACAAGTGGCTGTCCAGTCTCTTCTTAAAAACTTCCAGTGTTTGGAGCATTTACTGCTTCTGGAGACAGGTTGTTCCACTGATTAATTGTTCTCACTGTCAGGAAGTTTCTCCTTAGTTCTAGGTTGCTTCTCTCCTTGATTAGTTTCCACCCATTGCTTCTTGTCCTGCCTTCAGGTGCTTTGGAAAATAGCTTAATTCCATCTTCTTTATGGCAGCCCCTGAGATATTGGAATACTGCTATCATGTCCCCCCTTGTCCTTCTCTTCGTTAAACTAGACATACCCAATTCTCGCAACCGTTCCTTATAGGTTTTAGCCTCCAGTCCCCTAATCATCTTTGTTGCTCTTCTCTGTACTCTTTCTAGAGTCTCAACATCTTTTTTACATCGTGGTGACCAAAAATGGATGCAGTATTCCAAGTGTGGCCTTACCAAGGCATTAAAGAGTGGTATTAATACTTCACGTGATCTTGATTCTATCCCTCTGTTAATGCAGCCTAGCACTGTGTTGGCCTTTTTGCAGCTGCAGCACACTGCTGGCTCATATTTAGGTGATTGTCCACTAGGACTGCGAGGTCCCTCTCACAGTTACTACTATTGAGCAAGGTACCCCCTATACTATACCTGTGCATTTGGTTTTTCTTGCCTAAATGTAGAACCTTGCTTTTTTCACCATTGAATTTCATTTTGTTAGTTAGTGCCCAGTGTTCAAGTCTGTCCAGACACTTCTGAAATTTTGTCAAGAAAAGTGCAAGGGTTACCATGAATCAACAATGACTCAAAAGCATGCATACACACAGAGAGAGTACAGGTGTGAGGTGAATCCTTCCAGGGAGGACAACAGACTTTTATTGTTTAATCCATGCTATGTTGTGATTTTCTGCTATCTAAGTAGATTGAGGAAAATCCCATTGTGCTCGGGTGCCACTTAACCCACATTGATTGAGAGATACCTACAATCTCCCTCTTATAGCCTCTTCATCTTCTGAGCATTCTATATATTTAGCAGTAATTCATGTTTCAGGGCTTTCCGCTAATTAACTAATTGACAATACTCACAGAAGATATCCACAGTGAGCAGTGGAGATGAAGTGCAGCCATAAATATTGCATGCTTCACATTTGTAAGATGTCACTGGTCCAAACCTTGCAGGGAAAGTCAATAGTTTTAAACCGCTGTATTTATAATTAGCTACATGGGGATCAGTCTTCCACCAGTTGAACCAGATAATACTAGAGATATTACCACCCACAGAGCAGTTCAAAGTGACAATATCTCCTTCTTTTATGGGCAGATCATTCACAACAAAAACCTGGACATCATTGGGACAATCTGAAAAAAATCACCAACATATCAGAGTGAGAGATTTTGTACAGTAAATAAAATAGTGATAATATTTCAGATCATAGTGTATATTTCCAAAAATGCACTCATTCTGTAACTTTTTAATGTCCCTGAAAGAGACCATATCAAATGGTATCTCAGCTGTTATTTAAAAAAAATAATAACTTCATGGCCATATTCATAACCAAGAGTCAAGCTTGGTGAGATGAGATGTGAATTGTGTACTCTTGTCAGAAAAGCCCACCCAAGGTTGCTCATTTCTTCCCAACTTCACACTTACTTTTCATCTCTAGCTCTAGAGTGATGGATGATTTCTGTGACATGCTCTTGTTGCTCAAATGGCAGGTTATTGCTTTCTTCTTAGGTCTCGCAGCTGGTTGAATGGTGACCACCTTCCGTAGTACTCCATCATTCATCGTCATAGTTTCTGCAGTCAAATAATATTTCTCTAGGCCTTTGAAATGCATTGTTATTGGATCTTCTGGGCAATGGGAAGGCACAGAACAAACCACTTGCAGTGCCCACCTTTCCTGGCATTTCAAGATTTCCAATTTGGGACTTGGAAACAAATCTGTATCCAGAAAATAACAGGGATAAAAATAAGAAAAAAAACTCAGGCCTGATAAATAGGAATTGTGGTATATAGGATAGAATAGAATAGAATAGAATAGAATAGAATAGAATAGAATAGAATAGAATAGAGTAGAGTAGAGTAGAGTAGAGTAGAGTAGAGTAGAGTAGAGTAGAGTAGAGTAGAGTAGAGTAGAGTAGAGTAGAGTAGAGTAGAGTCGAGTCAAGTCGAATAGAATAGAATAGAATAGAATAGAATAGAATAGAATAGAATAGAATAGAATAGAATAGAATAGAATAGAATAGAATAGAAGTGGAAGGGACCTTGGGGGGTCTTCGAGTCCAGCCCCCTGCTCAAGCAGGAGGTCCTATACCAGTGATGGTGAACCTATGGCACGGGTGCCAGAGGCAGCACTCAGAGCCCTCTCTGTGGGCACGTGTGCTGTCACCCCAGTCCTAGGCCTTCAGCTGGGTTTTATAAAACCTTTTCGCTTTAGGCCTCCACCGCCGTGTGCAAAAAAAAAAAAAAAAGATTCAATTAATCAGTTAATTTCAACTTCTCATGGGAAAAAAATATCTTGCAAAGTTGGAATTGATTGATTGAACTTTTTAGTCCCACCCAGTCTGCCGTTACCACTGCAGCCAGGCCCACCCAATGGGCCACACCCACCCGGCACCTGATGATGCATAAGTGGGTTTTGGGTTGCAGTTTGGGCACTCAGTCTCTAAAAGGTTCACCATCACTGTCCTATACCATCTCAGTCAGATGCGATAGGATAATGTAATGAGGTCAAAAGTGCTGGAAAGACTCAAAGCGAGTGCAACAAAGCATTTTAGGACTTGCTTAACTTCATTGACTTCAAGGGCTCCTAGACAAAAAAAAATTCCTTGAACATCAACAACTTGATTCTCCATAAGTCACATCCTTCTGCCAGTCTGCAGCAAGATGTAGACCAATGCATTTCTGTTCTAGGAGTATATGCCCTTTCTCTGCTAGGCAAAAGCAACCCAACATCATTTCTGAATGGAAAACCCTCAATGGGGACCTTGCAAATAAGACTTCAAGATGATGATTATATCCAAATTGAGGAGCAATATCTATATCACTTATGAAAATGAAATGAAAAGCATTCTGCAAAGTTCTTACCAGAAACTTTCAATGTAGCTGAAGTATAAAGTATCTGTGTAGTAGCTTGATTTTCCATAGATGCAGTCACTTTTATCCCATATGTGCCATGGTCTTTTTTCTGGAGCTGAGTAATCATCAAGCTGCAATTTCCCTTTGCTAAATCCCCAGCAAACCTTACTCGCCCGTGAAAATCAAGACTTGGTAGGTTTGCATGCTCGTTTGGGATTCTGGAATTATTGTATAAGACGCTACCAACATAGTCAAATAAGGTCATATTCAAAATAGGCTGAAAAAACCAAACCACAGAGGTGGCAACAATTTTCTTAGAATTTAATCTTTCATCAATCTGACATGGAATTAAGACACAGGATCCTGTCCAGGCCACCAAGGAATTGGGACTTATCCTTAGAGGGTATTCAGAACACCCAAAGCCTACAATGGAGAAATACAGGAGAGATCATGGTCAGCTTTTTGGTACTGATGCAGAAACCAATACATACTATATTCATCCTCAAAGGCCTCAATTAAATCCAAGTACTCAAAAAAGCCTGAAAGATCAGTCATGGTGTCTTCATGCAGTTCAAAGTGAGGAGCATTCCAGAATGCAAGCACTATTGTAGACAATAAGGAAGGTTACCCTGGCAGAAATCAGGCAGGATCTATTACCAAAACAACAAAGGGAGAAACCAACAGATAGCACCCTAATTCACATGAGTATAGACGAAGGGGTAGCAGGAGAAGGCAGAATCAGACTTGCAAGATTCTATTATTATAGCCAGTATTAATAAATGTACTTTCAGCCTTCATATAGAATTGATGTCTCAATTTGGTCTACATAAAGGGGCTGATACATTATCATCCTCTATGAATAATGGGATCAATGGATCCTGGCAAAGACAGGAGCTACTCTCCCAGTCTGTAATAGCAAAGTGACCTTCAAGTATCCCAGTTTCAAGATGTTCAGGATACTTCAGATTCTGAGCAAACATGAAAAAAAAATCATCTACCCAGCTGGTTCCATGTAATTTACTCTAATCCTAACTCTAACCCTATCAACTTCAATTCTAGACTCTATGTTTCACCATAGATCCAGAAGGCAATGAAGTGTGGTGTATTTTAAACCATATGAAGCAAATCAAACCTGTTTTCATACCTTGAAAGAACAGTATCCAAAGGAAAGGCCTCATTATCAGTTCATGCAGTTCCCAATTCTATGAAAAAAATATATATGGCTAGCATTTGCCTTCATCATTCACAATGAATACACTGATAGGCTGACTTTGTTCAACACATAGATTTAGCTAAAAAGGAAACACAATTTAACAAAGTGTGGCCTGCTATAGCAGCAATTCTGTTGAAACCTTCACAAGAAAAGTCATTAAGCAAGCACATGAATTCCATAAGTCCAGAAAAGAAATTAAATTAGTATTGGTCTATACAACGTATTAATAATATTTGCAAGGAATGCTGTAAACCGAGCATTCCATGCAAATGGAAAGAATTGTGCAGGTTTTCTGTAAAATGTTAGTTGAGGAAAAGTAACCCTGAGTTCCTTTTATATCATGTTATTCTTCACAGCTCTTAGAATTAGAACCATTTCCACACTAGTGATTTATAATATGTGCATAGCAACACTTCACCCTTGCTGGAGTGATATAAAACCTGCCTATGTTGATATTATCCTGCCCCAAAAATATCTGAATGTTACCATGTCTCAAGAAAACACTATAAAGAAAACAACCTACTTCATGATTTGCAAATGATCAAAGTTGAGTTCTGAAATTGTTCCAGATTCCAAGCAAAGAAATCATATTACAGCTTAATGTGATTTATGAACTCAACCAATGCTTCATATTTCAATCATCCATGAGCTAAACTGGAATTCCTGATCTACAAAAATCAAGAAATCTTGCCATTTGTTTCTACTCCCATTTTTAGTTAAAGAAAAAATAAATTTTGCATGTACACTGCATTGGCAGTCGGAAGCTCTGTTGATTATGGCCAGTAATCAGGGATAATAAGAGTTGGTATCCAATATATCAAGGTCTTAACGCAGTGATTCTCAACCTTGGCAACTTTTAAGACATGTGGACTTCAACCACCAGAATTCCCCAGCATGGCAGGCTAGGGAATCTTGGGAATTGACATCCACATGTTTTAATGTTATTAAGATTGAGGAACACTGATTTAGAGGTTTCCCATCTCTGCTACACAAGGTAGAGAAGATTTGGAAAAGTTCAGCTGCAACACAGCCTGAGAATTATTCACTAGATCTGCTATAAAACACTCTCGAATTAATTTCTACAAAGGAACTATTTTACAGTGTATGACAGTATTGAATACCCTGATGTTATCTAATCCATCCCATCCAATAAAGTTAGTTAAAAGAAAATGTTGGGAACATATCTAACAACTCAAATTCACCTTTGCCCTCCCAATCACACTATATTATTTTTATAATTTAGTGGGACACTGGATTATCTGGTTGCAAAGCACAATAAAATAAAGATGAACTAACTCACCAGTAAAATAGAATTTCAGATCCACTGCTTTTTTCTGGAAATGAAGATTTAGCAAATAGGACGGAAAAGCAGAGGGAAGTTCTGTCGTGTGTTTACATCTGCATGTTTTTCCCCAGATCAAATGTTTGTATATCTGGGGAACATTTAAGGGTGATAATGGAATAAGTCAAGGACGGTTATTGGCAACTAAATAGCTGACATTATATCTGACCATTGTGAGATGTAAAAACTCCAAATTTTGATACTCACAGTATGAAGACAAGTCTGGTTAACAAAACAAAGGTTTATTGGAGAATAACATAAATAGAATAAAAGAGAAAGAATAGAAGAGAGAAGTGTTTACAAACGCGGCCCCCTGGTTCCTTCCCTATGGATTGGATTCCAGGAGAGCCCTGGCCTGGTTTCAAGATCTGCATTTTATACCCCTACAATGCATGTCATATCTAAGCAGCTCTTTCATCTTTATAGATGTACTCTGAAGTTGTACTTTGTTAACCTGACCTCTTCCGTCTATCTGCTGTTATCTTGTTTATTTGTAATTCTCACCTTGGGTCATAATCCCCCTCTTTGATAGTAGGATTTCTACTCAAAGTGTAAGTTCCTGTGTCCGGAGGATTTTTAGGCAGGAAACATTGAACAAACCTTCTCACACATTTGGCAGTGCATTACTACATTTGCGTTACAGTGTTACATTTGTACTAAAGAGACAGTTTCATATAATGGCATTACATTTCTACAATTATTAAAAGAATAACTTTTATTTCCTTCACCATTATATCTTCAGATGGGTGGAAGAAGTTAGAAGCTTGATTTATGTGGTGTTGCACACATAGTATTGGATTCTGCTTCTAAAATATGTGCAATAAGAAATCACCAAGATCTTTCAATTCTCACTGTAGCCTGGCATTTCTCCCAGGCAAAAGCAGTGTTCTTGGACCCTGAACCACTCTTGCCTTTTCTGATTGGCTATTCTCTAGATAGGAAGGGCTATGATTCCTTCTTTCAAGGCGGAGTTCTACGGACATTTAAGACTCCATATCACAACTGCTCAGATCAGCATGAACATGATTGGGGTTCTAAAATTTCTAAAAGAACAAAGTCACAAAGTATTAGAACATTGTACTTGGAAGGTCCATGTAGTTACTAGAGTCCAGCTCAACTCTACTGATATGGGTCCAAGATATCTGGGAACTGTCTTGCTCCAATGAGACTGGCCTGCCCCACTTGTTTTAGCAGAAGAACCTACTGTGTCTGCATCAGCCAAGGAATTTCCAGCCCTTTGGAACATTTTGCTGCTGTGGATGAGATCTTCTCCCATTTTTCAGGCCTTCAAGAAGAGCCTTAAAACTGCCTCTGCCAGTTGGTTTGGGGCCCTGATGGAGAAGCTGTAGGCTGGAGGTGGTTGGCGCAGTGACAAAGAAGGTACCACTACCGATCTACTATAAACCCTGTTTTGTCTGTTTATGACAATTCCTGGTTTCTCTTAAAGCAACCAGCTCTGACACCATAATAGCATAAGAGGGGGGAGGATCAGATTGCACCTTGCAAACTTATGCTGCTTGTCTAAATTGGACCCTAGTCTACCTTGTATATATTCTTTATGACCATCTATAGTCAATCCATCTTCCACCCTAGAACATCCTATTGCCTCTTCTCCATGGAACAGCTCTTGCAGCCTTCCTTCTCTCAACCCAAACTTCTTTGGAATCCTGACAAAACAAACAGTGGAGTTATCATTAACAAAAAAAAACCAAAAAAAACTCAGAATCAAAGGGACACAGTTGACCTGAAATAGCCAGAGGCCCTCTTGAAAGAATTTACTGCTTCTGCTGCCAGGATGTACTGTGTATATGTGACTTTGCATTTTACTCCAAGTTTATTGGGAAGCTTTTCTTGTTTCTTTTTTAAAAGATATTTCACTGGCTGTCTTGTCCCCCCCCCCAAAAAAAGGGCTTTGTAAATCTGAAGCATGAGTTTTTATTCTTTCCTGATTTGTACAATAGTCTGGCATTCCTACACACACATTTTCTAATTTCCAAGGAGCTCATAAATTCTATTGTCATAATTAGTAAAATGCTACCAGTGCCCAGGGGATTTTTTTTTCCCCATGTTCTAACATGACTTAAAATGAACCTGATTATCTCCTTCTCAAGAAAACCATTGAATGTTAGCGGCCATTTGGCCAGGCCTTGAGATCAGAAAAGGTTCTCAGATTAAGACTGCACTTAAAAAATAAAATAAAATCAGGAATATCCCCATGAAGTCCCTCCCTTCTTTTCCTTCCTTTTTTCCCCATGTTTTATCATGTATTTCTTTCTTCGTACAATAGCCAACCCCCAGTATTAGAAATGCCCCAGTTCTCTCAGGTTGTCTAAAGGCAATTCCACCCTGTAGTCTCAGCCACTTCTCTCCCATCCAGTTCCCAACTGTTTCTTAAGCCAACTTCTGGACTTCTGGTCTGGTTTGCCAGGGGGTCAGGCTGGTGTTAAGAGTGAACTAAACCATTTCAACCCAGATGGATTGTTCTCGTGCTTCTTGCCCTCTCATCCCTGCAGGAAAGGTGTAAGGACCCACCCCACTTTGGGTCCAAAAAACTTGGTCCAAGTTTTTGACAGGGTTGTAGAGACTTTAGGTATTTTGTAGATAGGTACACAATTTCACCTATAATGAATGGTGTAGGCTCAATCCTTTTTTTATCGGCTTGTGCTTTGTATGCCTGCTTAGCTTCATCTAGTGCTTTTCTAACTATTGGCCAGGTGTTTTGTAGTTTTTCCATCCATTCTTTCAGTGATGGGATCATTGGTTCGTTTGGGGTTAATTCTGGCATGGGGCTGAAACTTTGACCGTTGGCTATTTGAAAAGGAGTGTAGCCTGTGCTGGAGTGGACTGCATTATTGTAGGCAACTTCTGCAAAAGGGAGTAAGTCAGTCCAATCACTCTGTTGGCAATTTAAAAAACATCTCAAATATTGCTCAAGTACTGAATGACAATGTTCCGTTTGCCCATCTGTCTGAGAGTGATGGCTAGATGTCAGTCCCTGAGTGGTCCCTAAGAGGGATAAAAATTCCTTCCAAAATGCAGACGTAAATTGCACTCCCCTATCAGAGATGATGCGTTGGGGTGCCCCGTGCAATCTGTAAATGTGCTGGATGAAAAGTTTTGCTAAGGCCTTTGCAGTGGGAATCTTTTGGCAAGGGATAAAGTGCACCTGTTTGGAAAACAAGTCCGTGACTGTCCAGATAACAGTATTCCCATTGCTTTCTGGCAATTCCACTATAAAATCCATGGCTATTTCCCTCCAGGAGGCTGAGGGATTTGCCACTGGTTGTAATAGCCCTGGCGATTTCCCTTGCAACCTCTTTGCAGATGCACATGTTGGGCAGCTGGCAACATAACTTTCTATGTCCTTTTTTATTGATGGCCACTAAAATTGCCGTTTAATTAAGTGTAAAGATTTTACAAATCCAAAATGCCCTGCTGATTTTGTGTCATGGCAAAGCTGCATGAAAGTGATTCTTTGGATTGTTCGTATATATAACTTTTCCCCTACCCAAGGCAACCCATCTCTCATTGTGCACACATTTTTGTTTTTCTGGAACCATTCATCTGTTTCCAAACTTTTTCTGAATTCAATTCCAGTTTGGCTGTCCAGTTGTAGTTTTAATTTGGCTTGGGTTCTTGTGGTTACTGGTGCTGCCAGTTGTGACTCTGCCATTATTGGTCTAGAGTCTGTGGTTTGTGCACTGTTATATTGAGGTGCTCCCTTAGAACATCATTGATTAATTGCATAAAAACTGCAGGGCCCCCTTGTAATCCAAATGGCAAGACTTTGAATTGATAGCACCCCATGGGGCAGTTAAATGCGGTCTTCCATTCGTCCCCTTCCTTAATTCTCACGCGATAGTACACTTCCCTTAGGTCTACTTGAGAAAAAAATTTCCCTTTCGAGAGGTGTGACAGCATGTCTTTCATGAGGGGCAGAGGGTATAGGTTGCTTTCACTGATTGTATTCAGGGCCCTATAATCCATGCATAAACGTAAAGAGCCATCCTTCTTCTCTCTAAAAAGGATCGAGGCAGCCACTTTAGGCTTGGCTGGCTCAATGAAACCTCTCTCTAGGTTTTTTTTAATGAATCTTTCCATTTCCTCCTTCTCCTTTGGGCTCATGGAGTATAATCTGGGCTTCGGGAGTTTTGCCCCAGGTTTGAATTCAATGGTACAGTCTGTGTGTCGGTGCGGGGGGGAGCTCATTCGCCCTCTCCTCACTGAAAACTTCAGCAAGGTCTCTATATTCCTCTGGTATTTCTGTTAATCTTTTTTCCTCTCCTATGGATGCTTTTTCTATTCTTGATTCTGGTAGCCTCCCTTGGGGTTTTAAGTCCATAGGGTCCCCCTTTGGGAATTTGATTTCTGTCGCCCTCCAATTTACCCAGGGGTTCCATTTTTTCAACCATTCCATCCCTAGAATCATTGGGCATTCCATGCCTGGGGTCACCACAAACGTTATGTCCTCTTCATGTTTGCCCAGGGAGAGGTGTATTGGTAGAGTGGCTAGGGTAGCTGCCCCCCCCCTGCTATGGATCCATCTAACTGGCCAAATGAGATTGGTTGTTCCAGTCTCCTCGATGGGATGCTCAGATTACCCACTAGTGTTGGGCTAAAGAGGCAGCAGGTGCAGCCAGAGTCTATTAAGGCTTTCACCTTCACAGCTTCTGGCATGGAGGGGATTAATATAGTCACTGTCTTGAGGATGGGTGTGATGTGTCCACTTACCAGGGGTTCGCCCTCCGAGCTGTCATCTGAGGCATCCACTGGCCCTGTGGTGTAGGCTGGAGTTCTTTCCCCTTCGTGAGCAGAAGTGGGGGGTTCCGCAATTTCCATCATTCTCATGGCAGTTTCTTTTGGCTTAGCTGAAGACTTTCCGGATTTGTTGATTGGGGATCTGTCTGGGTTGTGCTGGGGGGCTTTGGAGCAGCATTCTACAGCTCGATGCCCTTCTCTTCCGCACTTGAAACACCCCATTTGCTTCTTGGCTGTAGCCGATGATTTCACCGGTTCGTGTGTCAGCTCAGGCGGGGGGCGGCTCCATTGTTTTCCTCGGCGGTGTCTCTTCAATATGTCGATCTCTGCTTCCTCTGCCAAGATGTACCATTCCTCAAGTTGGTATGGGTCCCCTCGGGGCAGGCAAGCGTCATATAGATCATAATTTAGTCCTTCTTTGAAATGGCTAAGGAGGATGTCTTCTGGCCAATTCAGTTTGGTGGCAATGGCCCAGAATTCTTGTGTATATTCAGCCACTGGGCGTTTTCCTTGCCTCATCGTTTTTATCCTTTCACGGGCTTTGCGATCAGCCAGGGGGTCTTCAAATCGTCTTCTCAGAGAGGACATGAAACGGTTGAAGTTACTGAGTTCTGGGGCATTGGAGTCATGCAAGTTCACCACCCAATCTGCAGCCGGTCCATCCAGGGCAGATTGCACGATCCGGATGCGGGCTTTGTTGCTGGGAATGTCCTGCCCATATTCCTCCATGTAGCTGAGGACTTGGGTTAGGAAAAACCCCAAGCGTGTTGGCTCCCCTTTGAATTTCACCTCCAGCGGCGGACGTCTTGGAATGGATCGGTGCCTCCGTTGTTGGTGGTAGTGTCTTCCATCCAGATCGCCATCTGTGGTCCGGTAGGGGGTAGGGACTACTGGATCAGCAGATGTCCCCGGGGTTGCAGGTTCCACGTCCCCCTTGGTGTCTCTCCCTTAGCGGCTCCAGGAGCTGGGGCAACCGTAGGGCTCAGGATTCTCCTCTCCTATGGAACTGAGAGTTCTCTTCATCAGGTCAATAGCTTTCTCTAGGATCCAATCTGAGTATGCTGCCCAGCTTTCTCCCTCTTCACTTGCGTGCAGGGATTTCTCCATCTCCTACTTCCATTCTGGTTGCTTGGTCCCCCGTCTCAGGGTCACCTTTCTTGATTCCTTTCCCCACTCACTTTTCTTTCTGACGCCCATTGACCAGCGAGGCTTGTGGTCCCGTGTCTCCACCACTTCTTCTCCTGAGGAATCTGACCTCTCGGATCCCAACATCTGGCAAGGTTCCAGTTGGGTCAGCGGCTCTCTTTCCAGGGAGTTTTCCCCCTTTCTTGCTCCATTGTCTGACATGGTAATTTTTTGCAAAATCCCCCAGCAAGGGTCTCCCTTCCAGGTGGATTAATTTTGCAAGTCCTGTCTAATGTAAGGACCCACCCCACTTTGCATCTTAAGAAGACAGAACTCTTGGAATAATTCTTCCAACAGGAATCCTTTATTAAGAGAAAATGGTTGCAGGTGTTCTAGACAGGACTTGGGGTCCAAGCTCTCCAATTCAAGGCTTTAAGGGTTTCCCCACCCAATCAACCCCCTCTTTCAGCGACAGTCTCAGGCATTACACTTCCACCCCCTTTTCATTACTGCCCGGCTGGATGGAGACTTCAAAGAAACTACATGAAAGGAAAATGGCCCCATTCTTATGGTTAGTTCTTTTGCAATACACACATTCAGTTCCTTAGAAGTATACTGAAGGAAGTGAGGGCCATAAAGCCCCTTTGTTCTCCCCCTTCTCTCCCTCTTATGGCGGAATACAGAGAAGGCAGAATTGGGGTTTTCTATATTTGATAACTAAAGATGAAATATAATTGGATTCTGACAGAAGGTGAACCTCATTGGCCATCTTCTATATAGACCAGTCTAGCAGTACCTGGTAGGGACTCTTCCCTCTCCACTAGTGCCCACAGCCTTTCTGAGTTTTCCCAGACATCATGAGAGAGAGAGAGAGAGAAAGAGGGAGAGAAAGAGAGAGAGAAAGAAAGAAAGAGAGAGGGAGGGAGGGAGAGAAAGAGAGAGGGGGAGAGAGGAGAGAGAGAGAGAGAAAGAGGGAGAGAAAGAGAGAGAGAAAGAAAGAGAGAGGGAGGGAGGGAGGGAGGGAGGGAGAGAAAGAGGGAGGGGGGAGAGGGAGATAAAGAGAGAGGGAGTGAAAGAGAGAGAGAGAGAGGAAGTAGGGAGGGAAGGAGGGAGGGAGAGAAAAAGGGAGGGGGAGAGGGAGAGAAAGAGAGAGGGAGAGGGAGTGAAAGAGAGAGAGAGAGAGGAAGTAGGGAGGGAGGGAGAGAGGGAAAGAGAGAGGGGGAGAGAGGAGAGAGAGAGAAAGAGAGAGAGAAAGAAAGAGAGAGGGAGGGAGGGAGAGAAAAAGGGAGGGGGAGAGGGAGAGAAAGAGAGAGGGAGTGAAAGAGAGAGAGAGGAAGGAGGGAGGGAGGGAGGGAAAGAGAGAGGGGGAGAGAGGAGAGAGAAAGAGAGAGGGAGTGAGAGAAAGAGGGAGGGGAGAGGGAGAGAAAGAGAGAGGGAGTGTGTGTGAGAGAGAGAGAGAGAGAGAGAGAGAGAGAGAGAGAGAGAGAGAGGAGATACCTTCCTACATCATCTCCTTTGACACTAGCCCAGGCTCTTTCTATTTTGGTTTTTCTCCTTATGGTACCTGCATAGTTCTGATGCTACAATAATCAAAGCAACAGAGAACAACTTGTTCTCTTGTTCCTACATTCCTTTTAAATCCATGGAGATCTTCTGGCAAGGATAGTCCAGCTTCACGGAACCAAAGAAGCAACAGCTTTATGTTGCAGTTAAAAAAAAAATAAAGGGAAAGGAGGGTTTTCTGAGGCAGGAGGTGGGAAAGCTAAGGGAGCAGCCTAGCAGAAAGAAAAAAGGTCTTAAAAGGTTGAAAATCAGCTTCTAGAGAGGGTGAGGAAAGCTCATAGGTTGAATGGGCCATCATTAGATCAATTGCAAGTTTATAAGACAGGATGAAAGGCTGTCCAGGCCAATAACCAGCTGCTGGAGAGGAGGGGGGGCTGTGCCAGGCACTGCAGCCAATCAGAATTGGGGCTTCTATTAGAATGGAGAAAGTGCTAGAGATCATCCATTCTGGAGGGTTGAAGATGAGTTGCTTTGGAAAACAGCAGCTTCAAATGAAAGTTGAAAAAACGCTACAGGGTGCATTTGCAATGGATTGTAGTGGGAGAAAGACACCGTGATATATTTCTGCACTCAGGAAGTGTGTGTGCTGGAAGTGAAAGTGCTGGTCATGGGCCAAGCATAAAAGTGAGTCTGTTAAAGCACAGCAGAGACATCAAGGCTTATGGCTGCTGTTCTCATGCTCTCAATGTTCTTCACTAGATGGCACTATCTGAATGCAAGTAGCACTCAAAGAATAGCATGGAAAAACTGCTCGGTTCATAGATTAGCCTATCATGATTTATTTATCCAGGCCACAGTATTAGTTATGTTGTTCTTTTCAAGATTGGCGATTAAATCCTTACCCAACAGTACCTTGGAATTTATGCTTTCTTGAAATGTCTCTTAAAAATAAAATGTGTGCAATACAGAGTTTAATACAGTGGTTCTCAACCTGTGGGTCGGGACCCCATTTGGGGTCGAATGACCATTTCATGGGGGTCGCCAAACAATGCAGTCCGCCATTTTTCCCCCTTTTCCTTAGCTGTGCTACTCCCTTTTATTCTATTGGCTTTTGAAAGCCAATAGAATAGACTCTCTTGAATACTTACGACCGGTTGGGGGTCGTGGCATTAAAAAGGTTGAGAACCACTGGTTTAATAGATATTGCTCATCAGAATAAGCAGTTTCCTTCTATCTCCACTTGCTTGCTCACCATTTAGTAGCTTGGTAGTCTCCATTCCCATAAGGTTTTCTTCAGCATATTTTCCTGGGACTCAAAGAAAATTTTTCTGGATCTGAAAGGCCTTCCCAACCTACTGTAAAAGCATGCTGCTAACCCAGGAAGTCCTCAACGTACGACCACTATTGAGTCCAAAATCTATGTTGTTAAATGAGAAATTTGTTAAGTGAGTGGGGAAGGGGTAAGTGAGGTAATGAACCTTTGCCAGGATTATCTCAGTGCAAGGGCTTATGGAATGTTCCTTGCTTTCTAAAAAAAAAAAAAGTGGCCATTTTCAGAATGATGGTTAATGATCCATATAATCTAACTGTGGGGTGCCAGAACCATTTGCCAGGAAATTTGCCTGGATTTAATGACTGATCATTAAATGACTGATTAAGAGTTTGTCAAAAGACAAGCAATGAGCGAAGAGGATTTATTAAGAACACTTATCCAAGGTTCTCTAGAAACATAGTATCACCATTGGTTAGTGCAAAATATAGCATTTTTTAATTGATGTAAAGATATAGAATCAATAAATGGACAAATAAATTACAGGAATTGTAATTGGGTCATTATGGGCCACACCCTAAGAAGAAGCTCAGTGATGAACAGCACAACATTGTTCTCCTTATTATGAAGGTCACAAGAACAATGGAGGCTTATTATCCTCCCCATAAAGAAACATCCAATATTGATAACATTCTTTCTCACACAGAAGTCAGCATACAAAGAGTCTTCACCAGAAACCTTGTGTGTCTCATGCAATCCATAGAGGCTCAGACCATTTGAGAACAGTTGGTTGGGATAAACTTACAGAGAATGCTTTTGTGGTGAATCTATATACCAGTAAAACTCTCATATCTGTCTGTAACCTTTGATTGGGTAAAATGGTGCAACATAAGGCAACAATTTTTGGATTAATGTGCCTCAAATGGGCTAACTTAAAGAATGCATCCAAAATCCAGGATCCATGTCTCTTGTAGGATTGAAATTTGGCATTGTGGCCACTTCAATGTTGCTATGCTACCATGCCACTACATGGCCACAATGGTTGTCATTTTCAATGCTTTCTTGCAGCTTCCAACAAGAAAAGTCAATGGGGAAGCCAGCAGGAAATAGAAAGTTGCTTCCACTCACACGGCTGTCTTGCTTACTGTGGTCATTCTGTTTCTCTGTTTAGGTAAGGAAATATCTCTGAAATTATGTCCCAATGGTCACAGGTAATCTAGTATTTTCTACTACCAATGCCCAAATCTCTTCTTGGTTTGATATTATTTTAGCAAAATGTTTTAACTTTCGCTTATTTTGAGAGATTCTTTGGTATCAACCCCTAACCTGCTTATGTCAAAATGGATATATGTACATTTTCAGATATTTCACAAGCACCAACTCAACCCATAGTGATGTTTAATTGGAAATAACAACTATTTCATTTGCTCTGTTATGATGATGTGGATTATTTCAATGTCATTCAAAAATTCTGAATTGGAAAAAAAAGACTGCATCAATAAAGAGTTAGCACCATATGCACAAAAAATGTGATCACAACCTTGGCTACACCAATAAATACATAGTGGGGTAACAAAGTATCACAAGGTAAACTTTTTTTAAAAAAATTGTAGCTGAAAAGCAAAAATGTTCTGGATGTAATCTATTGACATAATATTGTATTGATGGAATGATGTATTTTGGTCCTATCTACAGAAGAAAGGACAACTCCAAATTGGGGGTGCAGGATTTCAGCCCATCATGGATGTTACCCAGTGGTGGGATTCAGCCAGTTTGCAACACTTCGGCACAACCAGTAGCTAGTTTTTTGTTGCCCAGGCCCATAATGGACTTCCGGAAACGGCATCCACACAGAGAACCAGTTGTTCACCTATTTGAATCCCACCACTGATGTTACCTGCCACTAATTTTAGAGCAACAGTTCCCTCAAAGGTGATAATAAGAGTAGGAGAATATAATAAAGAGGAGAAACTCCTTTTTCCATGCCCAGTTTATCCAAACATTGCTGCAGAAAGTAAACATTTTGTCATCTGATCTCACTGCTATGGTCCAATCAGGCTTCTGAACCAGAGATGTTCACTACAGGGCTTTTTCCTGATTTTGAGAGGATTTTCCTGTGGAAAGAAACAAAAAAAATGTTTGACCTTCCTTTTTCAGTTTCTGTCTTTGGAGGTTATACAGTTGCAATTCAGGGTTTGATTTATCTCTTTTTTCAACCTTTTCATTTTTAATGAGGTTAGTCCTAAAATGAGATCAACAGTGAGGTCTTAGTTAGCAATGAAATTTCATTTTAATGTATGCTGATTAGTGTACATTCACAATAAAGTTATTATTCTATTCTATTTTTTATTATTCTGTTAATTGAAACTTCAAAGATCCAACTAACATAATTGACAAGTGATCCATAATCCAAACTTTATTTCCCTTTTTTTAACTAGTCCTTCAGGATTTCGTTACTATTCAGGAAGGGTCACTTAACCCCTTGCCTCACCCCTATTTTCTGAATCTAAGCCACATCCCCCCAAAATTATTTCTCTACAGTCAACAAGGAAACAAATGTTATGAGTTTCTGAGCACAATATTTTTTTAAAAAAGAAGAAAAAGCATTTGACCCTGTGAACTCTTCCCACAGAACATTTAATTATTTGCACAAATATTCCACATGTGGTTGCTGAGGAATTCCTAAACACTGTGGCAATCAAGAAAACCACGCAAGGCATGTATGATGTTAAATAAAAATGGCTTGCATCACCTAAGCTAACAAAAGAGAGTGGCCACCCCAAAGGAACCATCAAACTCAACCAGGATGACAGAAAATCATCTATATATGAACCAAACTAGTGGGATGGAAACAAACCAAATGAGGGTTCCATAAGTGAGTTTCAGAAAAGTCACCTTAGAAGAGACGTAAACTAGGATTCCTGTCTCACCACCTTTCTTCTAGGTTTTATGTTCTATAACACCTATTCTTGGCTCCTACATAACAACTTACCCATTGTTCTCAGCGCCTGTTGTAGACCTTTTGCACAGAATATTCTTTTTGCAGAACATCAACAAGCCACACCGGCGCTTGTAATAACACAAGGCATCTATCAGCAACAGGAGCACCAGAATTGCCAACATAATTGCCAAAATGCTGGCCCATCCCAAACCTCCATCTGGAAAAAAAGAATTATTTCCACTTGAACTAATTGGTGGGAAAGATGGTTGAAGCATCAACATTTTCTTCCAAAACTAGAGACAGCAAAAGTACCACTAGCACTCTGTAACCCATGAACCCAAAGCACTGAAAAAAATTCCATTTGCTAAATTATACTGAGTTGTATACATTGTAAGGGACAGACATAAAATAAAGTTAGGCTTAATGAGAAAACGACAGTGTGTGTTTGCTCATTTCCTGAGTTTTTCTTCCTTTCCCCAAAATGAAATAAAGACCAGTTTATTCAATTGACTCAGAAAGTTTTCAACTTTAAATCTCTGCTGTGTAAATTTAAAGATTTACAGAGCCTGTTTAAAAAAAGTTAGTGATTTATTAAATATATAGCTTGGGGTTATTCCCCCACATGCACAATAGGTCACCTATAATTATTTGGCTAATTCAGTGACAGTGAAATTAAAAGAAATGGCATTTTGATTAATATTCTCCAGGATGTGACATAATTCCCTACCAGTGGCTCATCTGTCATCCTCTATACTTCAAACATAGCCCAAAAGGGGGGGGGGAGAGAAGGTGGAGATGTAGAAAAAAATACATGTCAATTCAAATGACAGCAGCATCTATATATATATATATATATATATATATATATATATATATATATATACTCATGGAGAAGTGCATCCATAGGTAAGGCAACCCTTAACCCACTGATGGCGAACCTTTTAGAGACCGAGTGCCCAAACTGCAACCCAAAACCCACTTATGCATCGACAGGTGCTGGGTGGGTGTGGCCATTGGCTGGGTGTGGCCAATTGGGTGGGTGTGGCCCATTGGGTGGGCATGGCTGTGATGATAATGGCAGACTGGGTGGGACTAAAAAGTTCAATTAATCAATTCCAGCTTTGCAAGATCTTTTTTTTCCTCACAAGAAGTTGAAATTGATTGAACCTTTTTTTTTTTTTTTTGCACTCGGCTGTGGAGGCCTAAAGTGAAAAGGTTTTATAAAACCCAACTGAAGGCCTAGAACTAGGGCGACAGCGCGCATGCCCACAGAGAGGGCTCTGAGTGCCGCCTCTGGCACCTGTGCCATAAGTTCGCCACCACTGCCTTAACCTTTTCGTATGCTTTAATTTTCACAATAGGCTTATATGTGGGAGACACATCCTACTTTATTTGTCTTTCCTATTCCCAACAACATTCACAAAAATACAGGAAGAATCGCCCTGGCAAGCTGAACACACTGACTTGGAAATTACTTGGCAAAAGAAGAGTTAGATTCAAGAGATTTGATGCAACTTACCAGATGGAGTACTCTATGATTAAACACTTGTTTGAATATGTTTAAAAGAATAGATAAATTATGGGTATAAAGGAGCCCTACAGTAAGAGGGATAAGATATACAAATAGTATAGTATTTTTTATAATATATGAAATGCAAAAATATTGGGATAGTGTATGTGAATGAAAAGTTTGGATATTTAAAGGTAATTAACTTTGAGAAAATTATGACTGATAAGAATGGTTTGAATACAGAGGGGAAATTAAACTTAAATAAGAATCTTGAAAACAGGACTTATAGTGACTTAATAAGATGATCTTTACAAATACAATTGAAACATAAGCCGATCAGGAAAAATGTTATATGGCATGCTGATGTTATTGTTACTTGTACAAGCACAAGAAAAATGTTCATATCCAACTTTGTATGTTCTGAAAGTATTAAGAATATATTTGTTTAATGTTGACAAAAGGAGAATACTACCGGAAGAAGAGAAGATCAAGGAAATATATCATTAATTAATATATTGATTATGGAACTATAGAAATTTATTATTATTGATTGTTTTTTAAATATTTGAACCCAGACAACAAGCTGTTTACTAAGCACTAAAGACTGTTATTGTAAAAATTCAATAAAATACATTTTTTTAAAAAAAGAGTAAATGTTGACCATTCACCTTTTTCAAAAGGGACGCTCTCCTTAGTGATGCCTACTTCATTAGCAGCAGTTATGAAAAGTTCTGAAATATCCTCCTGTGGTGTTGGTATGACCTAATCCCAAAATAAATTTTAAAAATTAATCTCCTTCTTAAAACCACCCAATCTGCTATTAGAAAAATTCTTCACCAAATTCAGAGAAGCCAATTTAGGATTTTGCATACAAGAGGGATAGGGAACCTTCTGCCCACAAGTCAAACCTTTCCAAAACAAACTTCTTTAGGATTGCAGACTGGAACTAAATCTGTCCTTTGCCACCTGTCATGTTAGATCTCACATCTGGTTCCACACCCTCCAAATATCTCAGTTTCTCAGCACCTTAAGGTGTTGCCTACCAAGAGGCAGAAGAAGCAAGTTCCCAGGAACCAAAGCTTCAAATGGTGCCATGTATCTTGGAGTGAGGGTGAAACTGGTTCTCTCACAATCACTGCTTTCTCATTTTAACCATCATCTCTTATAGGTGCTCTACTCTGTGTTCACTGATTCTTTAGAGAGACTTTCTGGTGAGTTTTCATTTTACCCTTATAGAATACAACTTTCTCAGTAGACATTAATAGACTGGTGTTGCTTGTTTACTTAAGCCCTGGTGGTAGAGAGCTACAGATCATGTTGGTCAACCAAATGCTGAAAAAAGGGAGTTTGATCATTGGCATCTAGCCAACAGGATCACACAGCCAACAAGCAGCTGCCGCTGGTGGCGGCAAGAGCTGATTATACTGTATATAGAAAACTTTGCTAATTGAGAAAATTGGATTATAATTAACGAACAAGAGCATCAGGCTGGCAAGATCATGAGTTTTCCAAATCCAGTTAGAGCAATGAAAGAATAACCATTTTGGAATGCAAAATGGAAACACAGAAGGCTACAAAATTAGATGTGCTGACCAAGAAACAGAATGATAAAAGGATGGAAAGGAAAGAAGGAAAAGAAAAGAAAGGGAAGGGAAGGGAAGGGAAGGGAAGGGAAGGGAAGGGAAGGGAGGGGAGGGGAGGGGAGGGGAGGGGAGGGGAGAAGAGAAGAGAAGAGAAGAGAAGAGAAGAGAAGAGAAGAGATTGGGAACAGTGTAGAAAACAAGAAGCAGCCTGTAATCAGAATACGTGCTAAGAAAATAGTACAAATTTTGTCAGAATTTGGGAAGTGGTGAAAGAAAGTCTTGAAAAAGTCATCATGGGAAGAGGAAGTAACAACCTAATCATAAAAAGGACCATTAACCAATGTTTTCATTTCTTCCTCTATTCAAAGAATTTAGCAGGGTGAAATAAGAGGGAATCAAGCCTTCGCAAGTTCACCAAATGTCATGTCTCACCTCAAAGAGGAACAAATAACTGTTTTGGTCCTGTGCTATCCTTTTGATGGTATCCTCTTCAAAAATCTTCTCCTTCCAAGCAACAGAGACAGAAGGTGAGGGGTTGGCGAGGATGGTGAAGTTGACTTGGATGGGATTCCCATTTTGGGTGACCAAAGGTACCCTTGTAAGGAGCTCTATCATAGGAGCAACTGAATGGGGGGACAGAAATATACATTGAAATATATCATGAATTTTATACTTCAGTTCACACATTGCCTTAGCCCACAAACTATGGTTTGCAAGCTACTTAGAGCATGGTTTCTAAAGTTTACACCAAGAAGTACTGCAAATCGGTTGGACTACAAAGAGCGGGGTAGTCATAAACCAAAGATTTACCTTTATTATTTGAGGTGGGTCTTTTTTTAACCTTGATAAATAATATAGGGGAAATTTTGACATTAAGCTCAAAAAATTACACTTCTTCTTATCATGAAAACAACACAGTGTACTGTACTCTGCTCAGAATCTTTTCTTGGTGTTATACTGAGCATCAATTGTATAATTTCAGTAATTATCTGTAGATATTACATTTTAAAAAAAAACATGTTTTCAGTTTTAAAAAGCAGGGGAAGTCAGAGGCAGGCGTAAACTTTTCACCTCTGGGGTTTTCAGAATCTGCCTGCAATATTCAGAGTATTAGTAAACAATCTTCAAAGAGCTGGGCCTGTAAGAATGAGGAAGGCTGGATGATGCTGGCAAGTTTCCTAAAAGGGGAAGTGTTGTCAGAGCGAGAGTGGCAGTTGGCCATCTCTCTGTGTCAATTCAAACTGCAGGCTGCAACTGAGATTAGGCTGGAATCCAAGTCTAATTCTAAGTACACATATTCATACCGCAGCATGTATCAAATAGAATGTGATTGAAACTGATATTTTTGTTTGTCAATAGTCTACTGCAGGGGTCTTCAAACTTGGCCCTTTTATGACTTGTGGACTTCAACTCCCAGAATTCCTCAGCCAGGCACGTGTCTGGTCTACTGGTCTACTGAGTTTAGGAATTCCATTCCAATAGAAAAAAGGCCTTGCAGGTTGCATAATAATAATAATAATAATAATAATAATAATAATAATAGTAATAAAAAACAACAACTTTATTGTCATTGTATGTGTATACACAGTATAAACATACAATGAAATTTACGTGACACTCAAAGACCAGGTCCCACACACATAATCCTCAAACACCCTCCGAGTGACTTCTATCTTTTGCTATGATTTTATTCGTCATATTTATACAGCCACCCATCTAAGTGTCACTATTTCAGACAGCATACATTAAAAAAATGATCATAAAAACTAACAATTAAAAATTCAGCAATTAACTCACCAGTTAGTTACCAATAACAGAACAGCAGAGAGAGTTACTGTAATAGGCAATAAGGCTGTCTCACTTACCTTTGTTTAGTATATGGCATATCATATATGGACTAGCAATATATGTTAACATTTCATCTAGTTTAATAGAAGCCAATAAAATATAAATGTTAAAAAGATCTGCAAGGATGTTTAAATATCAATGTCTAGACCAGGGGTGGGGAACCTTGGCTCTTTTATGACTTGTGGACTTCAAAGCTGGCTCAGGAATTCTGGGAGTTGAAGTCCACAAGTCATAAAAGAGCCAAAGTTCCCCAGCCCTGCTCTAGGCCATCTAATCATAGAAATGCAGGATTATTTCCTTTTTTTAAAAAAAAGCCAGATACTAGACTGGTATATGCCCTCACCTTACAGCCGGTCACAATATGATCTACAGTTTGATGTGCCTCATCTGAGGTGCCAACATCTGAGGTGCAAATCCTATTCAGGATGGCTGATGTGATAGTTCAAACCTGGCACCTTTTTGGGACGGGAGGTGTAACTAGTTTTGCCTCCTTGTAGTGTACCCTAAATCGCACGACAGTGTGAACTAAATGAACTAGCAACTGCTGGCATCCAGACTACTCTCTAGACTTTCCTGGCTTTCAAAATACATGACAACAAAAATGAAAACTGTCTCACTAACTCACTAATTTACAGTATAGCCAACGTCTCTCAAAGGGGCATAAATAATTCCCAGTTGTTCTAAGTATAGCCATTGTGTTTGTTTATTTCAAACAATGGTTTCTTTTCAAAAAAAGATACTGTCACTAAATCGGCAGAGATTTATTAAAGTTAAGCAATTAATACTCAATATGATATTAATAAAAGATTAACCATATCAAGCAGAGCATATTGAATTGTTTTTATAATAAAAAAGAAGTATGATTTCCTTTAGTGCAATTACAACCTCCACTATATTGTAATGCAAATTCAGCTTTCTCAATTTTCATTTGCCTTTACTAATTTCAGTAAAACAGAGCTTGCACAAAATTGCAAGGTTTTTATAGACTTTTGTCTTAGCATGTTTACTTTGCAAGCATTCTCCTCCAGAATGCATTATCATACAAACTTAGTACATATTCTGAACTATGGCTGATATTCAGAAGTCCAGATTTTGTTATTCAGACATATTCTGGTTCGACATAAAATCTGAAAAATGGTCATTTTGTAATTCTTTATGCCTATAATTTTAGCTGCAAGAAAGATTTATCTATCAAATCAATGAATGTGTCTAATCAAAGCTTCTCAGACTTCACCCTGAATTTGATACACACACACACACAATACAAAAGTCAGCACTTCCTAACTTGGTACAGTGCCATGAGACAGAAAATGAGAACTTACATTTAACATTGAGTGTGAAGTTTGCAAAAGCTACTTCATTGCGCTCTTCAATGGTTGCCTGACAAATGTAAATACCAGCATCTGAAATTTGGGTGTTCTGTATCAGCAGCGTTCCATTTTCAACAAAGATTTGCCCTGTAAACCCAAAAGAAATTGCTGTGATAATTAAATTTGTCTCTAGTCTCTATTTGTACCCGCAGGCAGTCTCGGGGCTAAGTGAAACCATCAAACTTCATGTAACCATAACTAATTAGAAACAATAAGTTTTCTTCATTTTGAGGCCCAAAATACACAACAAGTATGTAACGTATGTACTTTCTGGATCCATTTCAGACAGTTTTCTGGTTTAAGCATGGGTGGGACTGGTCACTTTTATGAAAGACCTATGATAGAACTTGAATGGGGTGTGTGCCACCCTACTTTCCTGGCCAGCTAAAGCTTGTGAAGCCACTAGTCACAATATTCTTCTGGATCACCTGTGATGTTCAGAAGTATTGGGGACACCATTTTGCAGTGACACACACCCCCTTCTGGCAGCTTCAATCAGCATATGTAAGGAGGCAGAAGCTGATGTCAGGCCCATACCAAGAGATAATACAGCAAAATACAAATGAGTCCAGTTCTTTATTTGCTTAGACCTAATGGACAGACTCTTGCCAAACTAAAGTTTTTTAACTGATCATATATATCCTGAGAGATTCTATGAAGTGGCTATCCTGAACCCCTTCCCCTATCCAGCACAGGACTGTGCAGTTTCTATGGTTTGTTTTTCTATGGAATGTACTGACTCGTCCACAGGAAAGTTCTGTGCTGCCAAGATTCTCTCCACTGCTTCTTCAGGTGCGCAGTCTATCACAGTTAGGCTGTCAATATAGAGAAGTACAGATGTGGCTTTGAAAAAGGAATTCAAGATGATTATGTAAACATCTATTTAACCTGAATAGACAGAAGAGGGTGAAGAAAAAAACTCAAGACTGCCCCACTTTGATTGTCTTTCATATAGGGGAAGAAAGGGAGAATATTAGACTTTCAAAATTGTGTTTTTACACTTTGTAATAATAGAGTTTCAGTAGTTCATAAACTCAATCCTTTCTCTATTTCATTTAGCATTTACATGGAGATGTGGGGGGAGATCTTCTGATATACGAGGGATTGGTACATCAGTTTATTGTTGATACCCAACTATACATCTCCAGCCTGGGCCAAATGTGTAATGCAGTGAAAGTCTCTACTCCAGCTGAAAGGATCTGGATAGGGAGAAGTGAAGTATAAGTAATGAAATAAATAAAAATTGGCTAAAAGTTTTTTAAATTAGGAGAAGGAAGAAATGACAAAATTCATCCTCCAAATATGAGGAAAATGTAGACAATCCTGGTTTCACATACTATAGAATGGCCCTGGACATTTTCTAGCTTTATCAAATTCAGTATGATCTTTAACCTCTTGAAAAATATTGCTTGTTGTCTCCCACCACAAAAAAAGTTGTCCCTTCTGTTAAATAGAGATCTCCATAAGTAATCTCATACTCACTTTCCATAATATTTCTGATGTCCTGGTTTCCAAAAATCCATCTAATAGTTGGTGGTGGTATCCCTTTGACCAAGCAGTTGAATTCTACATTTTGGCCCTCATGAACTTCCTTCACAAGATCCATTGTGTTCCCAAACGTAGGTCTCTCTACGGATCAAATGCAGAGATTAGAAAACAAAATGCAGTGGGAAGAACAAGATGCTTCACCTTAAGGTAGTCTATCATTTCTAGATGAAACAGTGATCATTACAACACTGTGAACTGGCAGCTTATTTGGAGAGTGTTTTTTATGTTCTGTGTGGTATCTAGACTTCAGGAAGTGTTCAGAAAATGAATGAGTATCTTTTCTGAACAGTGTGAATGAAAATTTGGAAGTAAACAAGAAATTAAAAACTAGACTTCCTTGAGTGGACAAGAAACCATTGAAGTGTCTTTCTTTCTTACTAGGAAAGAAAAGTCAAGATGGGTACATCAGTCAAGTGATTGCAGCAGCCATCTTGACTTTGTCAACTTATCCTTCATGGATGCCCTGGTGTTTGCACAACACTCTGATCCAGAACAATATATTTCATTTCACTGTATTACAGTCATGAGATAAGTAATATCAAATATGCACATATTCAATCCTTTATTTGTTTTATATACTGCGTGACTCAAACAACTCTTAAAATGCAAGAAATGAAATACAACAGACATGTCAAACACAAGGCCCAGGGGCTGGATGCAGCCCACGAAGTGGTTTCATTGGCCCATGAAGCCATCCTGGAAACAGTGAGGGAATGATCCCTGCTGCCTTGGCCCTGGCCCAGGCTGGCTGGAGCCAATGTACTATTTTGTGGTGGCCATCTATGCTGAAATGCATTCAGTCTTAGCTCCACAAGGCTGTCTGGAAACAGCGAGGAACCAGCCCCTGCCATGTCTGCCCTGCCCCCTGGGTGCATGCTGTGGAGGTGTCACCCTTTGTGAGGAATGAAGAAATGCACCATCGCCTGGAAGTGTCCAGCAAATGGCTCTCGCCTGCTTCACATATCTGGCTTGATGGGGAGGGGTTTTGGCAGGCAGCAGGGTGCTCTCCTCTCAGCGCCATGAGCTGAGCTGGTGGTGCAAAACTGATGAGAACTGCAATGCTGCCTAGCCCCCAGCCTGCCCAGTTTCAGCAGGCAGCAAGGTGCAAAGCTGGCGAGCTTTGCACCGCCTGGCTCAACCTCTTGGCACTGTGAGGAGAGCACCCCACTGCTTGCCGAAACCGGGCAGGCTGGGGGCTGGGTGGCATCGCACTTCTTTTTGGATTCGCGCTGCCTGGTTCAGCCTCTCGATGCTGTGAGGAGAGTGCCCCATTGCCTGCTGAGACCACATGGTGTTGCACACTTGCTGTAGGAAGAGAAATACAGAAAAGGTTGAGTTAAAAATTCTCCTTGAATCTCCTTGCATTTTGAATCTGCAAGGTCTGGTGTGGTTTTTTCCTTGGCATGCTCTGGAAACGCATCAAAATAAAAATGCTCCTAATACATTCTGGGTCTCTAGAGAAGTTAAGACACTGGTGTCCATAGGTGAGGTAGATTTTGAAAGCACAATTAATGGACCTTGCTGCATTTTATTGTTGTTGGGTTTTTTTTTAGCTTTGCTCTCTCTGCCATTTTATCCACTGTCCCATTTTGGTTTTTAGCTACTGATCAATGTTGGGTTCCATTGTGCAGATGGATTCTATATTCCACTGAGATCTCTTCCTGGGTGCTCAAATAAATATTACTTACGAATCACGTGGATTTCAATTTGATGAGTAGCAGTTTTTCCGGAATCAAATTCTCCTTCACACTTGAACATCCCACCCTGATCTGAGCGAGTGAGGGTCATCTCCAGCCCCTTGGACAATTCATCTATCACCTTCACCCGGTAAGGTTCCGAATCCTCTTCAATTTCATTTCCACCTGGATCAGTCCAAGTCAGAGTGGCTTCTCCACCTCCTCTCACTGGCAAGTGGAAAAGTTTAAAAAGGCACAGTTAACAGAGCATGGGAAGTCAAGGTCATATTGCTTCATTTCACTTCAAGAAGGTACTTGACCTTCCCTCAAAGCTATGGAAGCTTGTCCCAGTGCTTCCAAAAGAAGATGATTCTGCACATATGCAGTGTGCTACAAGAAGGGGAGACCTCAGAACAAGACAAAAAGAAGGACTGGGGGCTAAAACATACAAGGAACGGTTGCTGGAATTGGGTATGTCTAGTTTAATGAAGAGAAGGATGAGGGGGGACATGATAGCAGTGTTCCAATATCTCAGGGGGTGCCACAAAGAAGAGGGAATCAGGCTATTCTCCAAAGCACCTGAGGGCAGGACAAGAAGCAATGGATGAAAACTAATCAAGAAGAGAAACAACCTAGAACTAAGGAGAAATTTCCTGACAGTTAGAACAATTAACCAGTGGAACAGCCTGCCTCCAGAAGCGGTAAATGCTCCAACACTGGAAGTTTTTAAGAAGAAACTGGACAGCCATTTGTCCAAAATGGTATAGAGTTACCTGCCTGAGCAGGGGGTTGGACTTGATGACCTCCAAGGTCCCTTCCAACTTTATTATTATTATTATTATTATTATTATTATTATTATTATTATTATTATTATTATTATTATTATTATTATTATTATTATTATTATTATTATATTATTAAGGATGGCAGTTCCCCCAACAAGCAATTGTTTTCCAAAGCATTTTCAATAATCACTCTGTTGGGATAATAAAAGGAGGAAGGGGGTATGGGGTGGCAGCAAAAAGAAATAGCCAGATGGACATAATTGAGATTATGCAAAGCATTGTGCCATGGAATCCTTGCTTCAAGGTGGTGCTTCAGAGAGGCATTCTACATGTGGAATTATCTTTCTGCTCATTTTAAAGACATTTCCACAAAGCAGAATAATGTCGTCCCTCTGAAACTCTGAAAGGGAAGACATTATTCTGCTTTGTGGAAATGCCTTAAAAATGAGCAGAAAGATAATTCCACATGTCCACATGCCGGGAAATAGGTTACATTTTTTTGTTTTAAGGATCTGCATCACAGGGCACTTAGTTGAATCTCACTTGAAGCCAAGCATCCATTCATGGCTACAGACACAGTTTTAATATATATCAGATTAACCTTTTGGTAAACTAAACGTTTACGTCAAGGACAATTTCTAGAACTTCCTTCAAGTAGTTTTATCAGGATAAAATAGAAGTTGCCTTTCTTTGCCTTCATTCAGAAAAGATTTTTGATTTCTAGACTACAGACCCGGGATTGTTTAGCAATCACTTACTATATCCAACTACTAATAGGTTCAACTTTGTTTAGGGTGTTTGAGATCTGCCAAATTCACCTACATGCTGTCACTAGCTTAATAGGCAACAAATAGTCTTAGTTTGCCATTGCCTTTTTTGGGATATTTTTTAACTTCCCAATCTATTTTACAGCTCTCGGATCCCTATGGAAGAACTAACCAGCCTGCTGCTATATAGCTTCCAAATCATTTTGGAAAAGCTTTGTTGTAAAGATGGGTGTTAAACCTATTGTTGAAAACAAGAAGTCTCTCAAAACAAGAAAGTAATCCTAAGGCAGTTCATCTACATGTTTGGAGACTCAAGGAATCAGATCTGGATTTTGCTGGCTTAAATTCTTCTAGCCTTCAGACCAGCTAATAATTCTGAGAGTTTTGTTTTTATCATACTTGATCCTTTCCTTTAACCTCAAGTTCTTTATAGCTTGGTGAGGAAGTAATTTACTGTCTTGGTAAGTTACTATCTCAAAACAAACTGAATACAATTCTCTTTTGTCTCTTTTGTTAAATCACTTTGAACAATGTTGGCCACAATCAATGTTTGGATAGACATGTAAATGTATGGACACTTCTGGGAAAGCCTAGAAACACATAAAAACAGGAACCACTACTATAGGTATAATCTTCACCTGGTAATCAAGTTCCAAAAAACCCCACCAGTTTTAAATTCTGCAGAGGACCAAGTTACTGGAAACTCCCTAGGAATTGTGACATCCTAAGCATCTTTCCCCATCTTTCCATAGGAATTTTAAACTTCAGATCCGTGCTAGACAAATGCTGGCCTCCTGCTGCTATACAATATCAACCTATATCAGCTTCAGCCAATTTGGCCAATATCAAAAACAAGAGAGCAGGAGACCAGCAACACTTGAAAAATCACAGATTTGCATTAATAATTTTCCATTCAAATAATATATTTTAAACCTATAAGTTGGGTGGGAGGGGTGGGGAGGAAAGAGGCAGCCTTGGAAAAAGTCTTGCCTTGGATAGTCTTGGTCAAAGTAGGACAATATGACTCAATTTTATTCAGAGATTTTTTTTCTCTGTTTATTGACTAATGTACAGACATTATAGGATGAATTGGGCATTTTGGTTACAATGCATAAACTGAGCTCCCCCAATCCATCCACTCCCTCCACTAGGTTAAATAATATCCTGATGACACTTTTATATATGTAGAGTTCTTCATTTTTCTGCAGTTACCTTTGCATAAAAAGTATGTCTGTGTGTTCAATTCCACGTTCCCATTTATAGGAATAATTTCCAGAGATTCCTTGGCACCCTGTACAGCCCCTTGGGAGAGAGAAAAAATATGCATTGGTGAAAAACTTCCATTAAAATCATATATATTTTCTGATTATAATGAGCAAAACCATCTCAATAACACAGGCAATATTTTCTTCTAAAGATATCCAAAAGTTTTCAACTGAATACCCCACCTGGTAGTAAAGCCACCTTCTAGAATCTCCACTCCATAAAGCAGGTGGGGACACACAAAGAAATGGATAGAACCAGGACCCAACAGAAATTGGAACTGAATGAAAAACTATTCAGGTGATTACACAACATAGAGTAATTTTGCACAGTCACTTTCAGAAATACAGCTCAGCAACTGCTCTTGAGGACTATATCAAGCTTTCAGAGAGCCAGGTGTTCTGGAGGCATGATGTTTTGCAGCTGGTGGCAAGTTGTGGTTTAACTTTGCAACCTGTACTAAACAAACTTTTACAACCAAGAAATCCTTTGTGGTAACAATAATATTTACAACTATGAAGTTACTGATAGACACAAATATTTGTAGCTCAGGATTGAATTATGGGATTCTGGGTGCTATCTGATCTTGGTTGCTCAACCAAGCTTGGAGAGAGCCAAGGACCCCACAACTATGAAGCCAAGAAGTCTTAAGTAATCCTTAATCTTTTGTTGTGTCATCTTTAATGGTGAGTGCAAGTTTTCTGTTGCCTAAAAAGAATTGAGGAATTGAAGGTTTAGGAATTTTTAGCTGATGAACTGCATGAGTGTTATACACTTCTAAATTCGGGGCTCATAGTTACCAACCATTATATATTAGATAGTGCTTCCATCTTTTCCTTGTCATTTTCCCTAGTCAGAGTCCAATCAAACAAACAAAAAGGAGAATAACAATGAGAAAAGTCAAGAGAGGTTTAAAATATCATATAATGATAAGGCAGCATAAATCCAGAAGACCATCAATATCATCATTATTCAACTGACCAATAAAATTTGCATTCATTGCTGCTTATTAAAGCCCTCCCATTATGCTCCCTCAGTCTAACCTACATAAGTATAAGAAAAAAATTAAGTTTTTAGCACAAATATAAAAACATAATATCAATGCAGTTAAGATTATACATACAATTAGAATTACAGAATCAACCCAGATTATTATTGGGTTTTTCTTACCTAGGTATAGTACCCATATTTTAAATCTATGATTATTAGCCATTTTAATATGAAAAATGGAAATGGAGATGGAAACATTTCTGTGTATGGTTGCCCCTACATGTGTCTTTTTTGAAGCCAAACAAAAATATATTTCATCAGGTATTGCAAAATGCTCTACATGCCAACAAAAAACTAGCTTTGGTGAATGTCTATAGGATTATAGGCTTAATGTGGAAACTTCTCCTACAGAAATTGCATTCCACAGTAATGGCCCTTTTGGAACCGATAAGCTTTAGTGGAGAGAAGGGAAAACAAAAATGGGAAACAGACACACTAATAGATCTGATAAACAATGGAAAATAGGAGATTTTTTTTTTCCAAATCCAGGTACTGCATCTTTAAAGATAGCATACCCTGTATTAACTATGGCTTCTTTCTGAATACTTGGGAACTCTCCTGAATATAGCAGATTCTGATGCCAACATTTGTATTCTCCAAAGTTATATTTTTCTCCACAAATTAGTTTAGTTGGCTGGAAGTATCTGATTTTCCCAGGATGCCCTAGCTATCGTGGATGAATCCAGAGAAGAAGACCCAAAGATTCAGAAATATATCAACCCCCCTCAACAATCTTCAAGCAAACTCTTAAGGACAGTCAACATAAGAAAAGTGGAACCACAGAAGAAATGGTACTGCTGATTGATAATGTTGCAGATATATTCCACATAGCTACTGTTTTCCCTGCACAACCTCTTTGTGTCTTTACATCAGTCTTCTTTGCCCTTGAGGCAAGTGGGGGGGGGGTGTGTTGTACAACAGCTCCCATCACCTTTCCAGGCAACATGGAGTTTGTTGCTTGAGGAACACAGGAGTTATAATTCAAACACATCTGCCAGGAACCTGGTCTGGACAGGCTGCCTTGGATTAATCAACTGAGAATGAAATAGATTTAAACCATTTTTTTTCCAAACACTGAGATGCTGGATTTTAGACATGACCCTACCTAAATGCTTCCCTCCCCCTTCTTCAAAACCCCTGGTCTGATGCATCTTACCTGCTACAAAAATGAAAATGAGAAAACGTTCTGCTCCCATCTCAGGGGGGGTTAGGTTTCAGAATTGGACTTCTTCCTTGGCACCAGCAATCTAAAAGGACTCCTGGACCCTGGGAAATTTATAAAGAGACCCCTCCTCCCTCTGACCTCCCTTTCTGTCTCCCCTCCTCCCTGTCCTGACTGCAGGGGAGGAAAAGGAAAAAGGAAATTAAGCTGGGGGGCAGTGGGGAGGGGGTAAAGACAGAGGAAAGGGAGGTCTATACATCTGTGTATCTATAGGTGGGTGTGTCTCTCCAGGGTTGTATTTGTGTCATGGGTGTGTGCCTGTTGTATACTCATTACTCGTGCATTTGTTTATTTCTCATAAGCATTTGCGCAGGTTTTTGATCATCTTTTGGGAGTACTGCATTCTAGAGCTCAACAGCTTTTCTCTATGATTTATAAGAATAATAATAAAAGTAAAGTTGGAAGGGACCTTGGAGGTCATCTAGTCCAACCCCCTGCTCAGGCAGGAAACCCTATACCATTTCAGACAAATGGCTGTCCAGTCTCTTCTTAAAAACTATACTATATTCATACAGTAGCTCCATTCATAAAGACAGTGTACACGTTTGTTCAATTTATATAGCCGCCTATTTCACATATATCTCCCAGGGTAGCATGCAAAGTTTTTTTTTAAAAAATACAAAACAACCAGAATCATAATAATAAACAAATGGATAATGCAAATAATGCAGCTCAATACCATGCAGGCATTTATAGATCACTGAATTGGACCCAGAAGCAAACTGGCAACCAATGCAGCCAGTTAGCCAAGATGTAATATCAGTGGTCCAGGTATAGGCATAACTGCAATTGCCACTGCTTTTTGGTCAACTGAAGCTTCTGAATGCTCTTCAAAGGCAGCCCCCACGTGGAGCACATTACAATAATCCATGTGGGAAGTGACCAGGGCATGAATGTCTGAGAGAAGGCCTTCCCAATCCAGAAATGGGTACAACTGGCACACAGTCCAAAGTTGCACAAAGGACCTCCTAGACACATCTATCACTTTCTCACTGAGCAGAAGCTGAGGTTCCAGAAGGACCTCCAGATTGTGCGTCAGTCTATCTGGAGTAGTGCCACCCCATCCAGAACCAACCAATCCAGATAACGCACTTCATCCAAAATTCTCTCAAATTGCATTGCAGCCACCTTCTCTACAACCAGAGGTGGGATTCAGATATGTGAACAACCAATTCTCTGTGTGGATGCTGTCTATCTATCTATCTATCTATCTATCTATCTATCTATCTATCTATCTATCTATCTATCTATTATCTATTATCTATCTATCTATCTATTTATCTATCTATCTATCTATCTATCTATCTATCTATCTATCTATCTATCTATCTATCTATCCAATGGTGGGATTCAAATATGGAACAACCGGTTCTCTGTGTGGATGTGCTTCCAGAAGTCCATTCTGGGCCTGGGCAACAAAAAAGTAGCTACCGGTTCTGCCGAAGTGGTACAAACAGGCTGAATCCCACCACTGGCTGAATCCCATGGTATCTACAACCATCTCTAAAAGGAAACAGTTGGGTGCTGGATGAAAATTGTCTACTTCAGTAGGTTCCTGTGATGACCTTTTGAGGAGACATACTTCTTTAAGGGACAGAGGAAACACCACCTCTCTCAAAGAAGAATTTACCACTGCCAAAACCCAAACAGGCATCACCTCCCAGAAGGCCTTTGCCACCAAGGAAGGATATAGATCAAATAAACAGGTGGCCAACCTCATAATTATGAGAAGCTCAACACCCAATAGATTTAAACTTCTCCCAGATATCACGGCAAGGCTACTGCTCAGGCATCTCCACAGGACCTGTGCCAAGACTGGCATCCATCTGGGAGTGAATCTGAGCTATTCTAACAATGCTCTGCATATTCCTATGCATGACTTTATAGGTGCATGCCCAATTCCCCCCCTCACATACCCAAGAGAGCTTGGATCACCCTAAATAAGATAGCTGGTTGACTATTCACAAATGCAATAAAGGCAGAGATGTGCTGATGCTTCTCTATCCTTACCACCACAGTGTAGGCCTCAATAGCAGCTGTATTCTGTTAAGTTCATTGTTCATTGCTTTCCAACAACACTTCAAGCATTGCTTAACCCACAGGTGTCAAACTTGATCATGTCACATGACATATCATGATGTATCATAATGGTTTTTTGCCTTTGTGGAACTGGGGTGGACATGGCCTCCCCGTGGGCCACCAGTTTGATACCTCTGGCTTAACCCATTTCATCTCCCTTAACTCTTCCAATAAACCATGGAGAATGACGGGATCCACCAGCGGAGAGAGGCCACATAGGTGTGATACACATTAAGCAGAAACAAAAATCATCATACACATTTTTTTTTAAAAAAAAAAGGCAGGACACAGTCATAATTACCACCTGATCCCCTTCCATTTGGATGTCCCTGCAAACAGCTAAATTATAGCACAGTAAGAGTTCAGTTGTCCTCCCTTAGTCTGAACAAGGATTTACTACCTGAGTGAGTCACACACCATACTAAATCAAGCCATAGCCATCAGGAGGCTATTTCTCCAGACACTGAAAGCTCAAGGCTTGGTAAATTAACCAATCTTTGATTATTATTTTTCTTTTTTCTGAAATAAGGATGGAAATTGGAGTTGGAAGTTCTCAAAGACAAATTTATTTCCATTTCCACACCAACAAATCACCCTTCAAATCCTATAAAACAATCCCAAAAGATGGTACTGAAAGTTGCTATTTTAAATATTTGTCTACTGCCTCTCACTTTTATTATCGATCATCGCACAGTCAGCCAGATGTTCAGACTGGATTTGGCATTTTGTCTACCTATCGAGTCCTTACCCAGGACCTGGGATAAGTAGATGTGGATGTTTGATGGTATTACAGAAATAATAATAATAATAATAATAATAATAATAATAATAATAATAATAATAATCTCCTTGGGTGCAATCCCAAAACAATTGGAGCACCACTTGAACACCATTGGCATTGACAAATTCGTTATTAGTCAATTGCAAAAGGCGGCCTTACTAGGAACTGCTTCCACCCTGCGACGATATCTGTAATACCATCAAACATCCACATCTGCCTATCCCAGGTCCTGGGTAAGGACTAGATAGGTAGACAAAATGCCAAATCCAGTCTGAATATCTGGCTGACTGTGCGATGATCCATAATAATAATGTTGGAAGGGGCTTGGAGGTCATCTAGTCCAACCCTCTGCTCAGGCAGGAAACTCTATACCATTTCAGACAAATGACTGTCCAGTCTCTTCTTAAAAACTTCCAGTGTTGGCACATTCACCATTTCTGGAGGCAGGTTGTTCCACTGGTTAATTGTTCTAACTGTCAGGAAGTTTCTCCTTAGCTCTAGGTTGCTTCTCTCCTTGATGAGTTTCCACCCGTTGCTTCTTGTCCTGCCTTCAGGCGCTTTAGAAAATAGCTTGACTCCCTCTTCTTTGTGGCAGCCCCTGAGATATTGGAACACTGCTATCATGTCCCCCCTCGTCCTTCTCTTCATTAAACTAGACATACCCAATTCCAGCAACCGTTCCTTATATGTTTTAACCTCCAGTCCCCGAATCATCTTTGTTGCTCTTCTCTGTACTCTTATATATTGATAAATTATGTGCTTATTTGATAATTTGTTTAGCAACTACATAGATTTCCTCCAGGAGAATCTGTCCCCAGCCTGGTGTTTCAGCTCTAGCAACAGTACACCCATTGTCCCTTGGTTGATGGATTGGTTCAATCAAACCTTGGGGGTCTTCTAATCCAACCCCCTCTTCAATCAGGAGACCCTGTATCATTTCAGACAGGTGGCTGTTCAGTCTTTTCTTAAAAACCTCCAGTGATTCTCTTCTCTTTCCTTCTACAGGTAGTCCTCGACTGACGACACAAATGAGCCCAAAATTTCTGTTGCTAAGCAAGACATTTGCTAAGTGAATTTTGCCCCATTTTATGATGTTTCTTGCCACGGTTGTTAAGTGAATCACCACAGTTCTTAAGTTATTAACATGGTTGTTAAGTGAATCTGGCTTCCCCCCGTTGATTTTGCTTGCCACAAGTGGCAAAAGGGGATCACGTGACCCTGGGACGCTGTGACCATCATAAATACATTTCAGTTGCTAAGTGTCTGAAATTTGATCATGTGACCATGGAGATGATGCAATGGTCCTAAATGTGAGAAACGGTCCTAAGTCACTTTTTTCAGTGCTGTTGTAACTTTGAATGGTCACTAAATGAACTGTTGTGAGTCAAGGGCTACCTGTACTTTCCCCAGCATTATAAATTCCCAAAGATGCTAGGTTTTCACAAAATGTCTTTGACCATTTGAACCTGCCTCAAGGGAGAAGTCTGCATTGGTGTGTTCATTGATTCACTGGTTTCTCACCATGATGGAGGGATTGTAACTCCCTTTTTATATGTGTGCAGTGAGACTGCAATCACATGGATGGCCCTGAACAGACTTGTACTTCCCTTGCAGTTTCCAAAAGATGTTCCAGAACACATAGGGATTTAATTTAAGGTGAGGCTACTACTCATCTTAACTTAAGCTGACTTTTAACATTCAGTGTTTACTTTTTCCTCCCTTGAGAATATCCTCAACTGGATTTTCTTATCCTGCTGAACCATAAGTTTGTTTCATCCAGATGAGCTCAACAAGCAAGCATGGTTGAAAAACCAGATTTTAGCATGAAGCAGGTCACTATGGTTTAATTCAACAAAACACTGTTGAAGCAAACCATGGCTTAAGAATATATGCCTCTAACCAAGCTGACCTATAGTGAGTTGTCCATCTTATCTTCTAACAAAGCCCTTTACAACTCAGGCTAAATCACATAGCAAGCATTCGGTTAAGAACGTCGCTTGTCTCTCCTTGTAAAACGATCAGTCTATGTTATAGATGAAGAATTGTCTGCTAGGATACGCTGCTGATGCAAGTAGGCCAAGGAGTGACATAGGATGGGGAAAACAACCCCAATTCTACTCACTGGGAGACACGTAGGATGATTCATTATGAAATCCTCAGGGAGTGCAAATGACTAGAGCCAACCACTTGGAAAACAATGAGTGTTTAT